GAAGTGTGATGGGAAAATATATTTAAGACATATTTAGAAGGACATTTGATCCAATTTGGTGATTAAATGTGGAGACTGGGAATTTAGTCCTACCCCTAGATCTGGTTTGGGAAATTAGGTGTATGTGATAGTCCATTTACCAAGAAAGGGACCATGTGTAAAGCAGGTCAATGGGGATAATCTAAAAGAATGATTTTTAATTTGAATTTGATGAACCTATGAAAAATCTAATGGAGGTATTTAATAGGTGGTTAGGTATATAGGCTAGAGTTCAGGGATATATGGGGAAACTAGCCTACAGGTGTTAGCTGAATTCAAGATTGTACCCATAGAGCAAGTGAGAAGAGCCCTGGGTATCAAGAAGTGTCCAAACCTTCAGAGAATTTTTATAAGGTATTATATGAGCCAAACCGATGGTATGTGCTGAGGCACAAGATCTCAAATGCTCTGGAGAGCCCTGGCTGGTGTGGCTCAGTTGTTTGGAGCACTGTGAACCGAAAGGTTTCAGGTTCAATTCCTGGTTGGGGCACATGCCTGGGTTCTGAGTTTGGTCCCAGTCAGGGTGCCTGAAGGAGGCAACCATGTTTCTCCCTCTCTTTCTCCCTTCCCCTCCCTCTAAAATCAGTGAGCATGTCCTTGGGTGAGGATTAAAAAAAAAAAAATCAAATGCTTTGGAGAGTAACCATTTTTGAAGTTCCTTTTTACACATTTGAAATCAAGGAGGGAAGGTAAGAAAAATTACATGAAGGACAGAGAAAGCAAGGCTGGGGTTGAATTAAAGGAAATTTAAGATTATTAGCTATCTCGAGGGTGGTTACATTTTAGAAAGAGGAGTCTGAAAAAGGGCATTTTGGCCCTGACTGGTGCAGCTTGGGTTAGGCGTCAGCCCGCAAATCAAAAGGTCACTGCCTGATTCCCAGTCAGCGCACATCCCTGGGTTGTGGGCCAGGTCCCGTGTTTGGGAGATGTGAGAGGCAACAGCCCACTAATGTTACTCTCCCCCACTTTCTCCCTCCCTTCTCCTCTAGGTAGATGGGTGGATGGATGGATGGGCGGGCATTTCAAATGTATGTTAAACTAGATCACACAGACAATGAACAGGGCTTTTTTAAGACAAAGATAAACAGTTATAGGTTGGGGCGTGACTACCCACCATGACCCACCCAGTTAGGAATTTATGCTCGGATCACCCTGTGAAATTACTTTCCATAAAATGCTCTTTTTAAAATTTTTCAAAAAAATTAATTTTAGACAGAGGGGAAGAGAGCGAGGAATATAGGGAGAGAAACATCAATGTGTGGTTGCCTCTTGTGTGCCCCCAAGTGGGGACCTGGCCCGCAACCCAGGCATGTGCCCTGACTGGGAATCCCAACTGGCAATGTTTTGGTTTGCAAGCAGGCACTCAGTCCACTGGCTCACACCAGCCAAGGCAAAACCCCCCATTTTTCAAAAAAAAAAAAAACCAAACTATTGATTTGAGAGAGAGTCAGCTGCCAGCCCCCGGGAAAAGAAGTGAATGGAGAAAGTCTCTGATGTGCTCAGTGGAGAGAGCCTAGTGCTGGGTCCTCCCTCCTGAGGGCTTTTTTCTAAGGTCTTCTGGGAGGGTCTCAATACAATATTCATCGGCTTTCCTGGAGTATCTCCTCAGGGTTGTGGTCTCCACTGATTTATCAGTACCAAGGGAGTGGGTCAGTAGTCACTCGAGCTGGTCCTGATGTCAGACATGGTGTCACTCTGCCTGGTTTTGCTTTTGCTGCTTTTCTGGGACTGGATCTGAAACGCAGCTGAATCCCAGATGTCATCTCCTGGGCTTAATGTTTAAGGGAGTGCTCATGAAGGGCTTGTAGTTTTGCCCATTGCTAGAGGTTCTAGCCACCCTGGGGTTCTCCACCCCTGGAGACCCTCTGTACCAGGCCCATCCTTCCTGCTCTGCTCCTGCCTATCTAACTGCCTACTATACCTACAGAAAATTACTGTATTTAAAAGAACTAATTTTAAAATCAGAACTTGTCTTCAATTTATATTTTATTTTAGGTATCTGAAAACTGTTCCTCAAAAAGAAAACCTTTAGTTTGGAGGAGTCCTTTACATCAAGTACTCAAATGAAAGAATCACCAACAGAAGTTGAATGTGACAAGGCAGCAGCACCACAGTTGCTGCAGCCTGACCGAATTAAGAGAGAACCTGACAATGCTCAGGTACCTTGTCCTTTTTCTACAGCATCTTTGAATTATGAATCTTAATTACTGGTACTTAAATGGTGGTTTATTGGTTGAAAGCTTTAATCCTGTTAAAAATTTAAATACCAAAGCAGTTGATCAAATAATACAAGGTACAGTGGTGTTCAGTGCCAAAACCAAGTATATACAAGAATGTGATTTGAGAGAATAAGAAGCTGTTTGGAATTGGGTATTTGGATGGATAAAAGGATTGCTTAGGATATCATGGGCCTAATTAAGCTGAACACATTTTTGTTTTTTTCTCTTTTTTAATCATTTAAATTTTTTAATTACAGTTGACATACATTATGATATTGCTTTCAGGGGTATATCCCAGTGATTAGACATTACATAACTAAGTGATCATCTTGGTAAATCTTTCACCCCTCTGACACTATACATAGTTATTAGAATATTATTGTCTATAGTCCCTATGCTGTACTTTACATCTTCATGACTATTCTGAACAACTTCTTTGAATTGTACTTATTCTTCTTTTCAATTCTATTTTGTTTACACTATTACAGTTTTCCCACTTTTTATCTTTTTCTTCTTCATGTTAAAGAAGACCCTTTAACATGTCATATAGTACTGGTTTGGTGGTGATGAACTCCTTTAGCTTTTTCTTGTCTGGGAAACTCTTAATCTGACTTTTGATTCTAAGTGATAGCTTTGCTGGGTAGAGGTCCTTGCTTTTCATTACTTTGAATATTTCTTGCCAATCCTTTCTAGCCTGCAAAATTTCTGTTGAGAAATCAGCTGACAGTCTTATGGGAGTTCTTTGTAGATAACTAACTACTTTTCTCTTGCTGCTTTTAAGATTTCTGTCCTTGGCCCTGGCCAGGTAGCTCCGTTAGTTAGAGCATCATCACATTACACCAAGGTTACAGGTTTGATCCCCAGTCAGGACCCATACAAAAATCAACCAGTGAATACATAAATAAGTGGAACAACAAATCAATGTTTTTCTCCCTTCATTTCTTTCTCCCTCTTCTCCGGAACTACCAGTAACTAGTTATGTTTTTTTTAAAGATTTTGTTCATTTTTTAGAGAGGGAAAAGAAGGGAGAAAGAGAGGGAGAGAAACATCAATATGTGGTTGCCTCTTGTGCACACCCCACCAGAGACCTAGATTGGGAATCGAACCAGCAACCCCATAATTCAAAGGCCAGCACTTAACCACTGAGGCACACCAGCCAGGGCCATATTTAGTTTTTAGAGAGAGGAGAAGGGAGGGAGACAGAGAGAGAGAGAAATACCAATTGTTTGCCTCTCATACGCCCCCAGCTGGGGACCTAGCCTACAACCCAGGCATGTGCCCTGAACCAGCAACTTTTTGGTTCTCAGGCTGGTGCTCAATCCACTAAGCACACCAGCCAGGGCACTAATTATGTTTTTATGCTACTGCCTCTGTTGAGTTGTAGAATAAATAAATTTTTAATTTTAGAATTATTTCCTTTATAGTTTTTTACTCCAAATTAGTTTCATGTTTTTATTTTTAAGCTTTCTTAGATATTGAATGCTAAAACTATGAAGGACTAATTGATTCAAGGTATGAGTATTCTTTAAGTAGGGCCAAGTTTCTGTGGAATATTTGCATATGATTTAGCCGAAATTTCTAATGAATCAAAAAATAAATTCAGTTTTAATTTATTTCTACTATTCTGCTTAGAAATACCCTAAAGTGAATCAGTATCCAGTAAGGATCTAACTCCCACTGAGTTGTGAAAGTGTGGAATGTTGTCCATCTAGGAAGTATCTGTTGCATTTTCAATCCATACATTCAAAAACATAGGTCAAGTTTAGATAGATTGCCTGCTGCTGTGAAAAAAAATCCTCCCTTGTAAAACTCATTCAGCCCAATCTAACAATTTTTTTTATTTTATTTATTTATCTTTGGATAGGAAGGGAAGAAGAGAAGGAGAGAAATATCAATGTATGGTTGCCTCTCGTGAGTCCCCTGCTGGGAACTGGCCTGCAACCTAGGCATGTGCCCTGACTGGGAATTGAACCGCGATCGTGTGGTTCACAGGACCACACTCAGTCCACTGAGCTACACCAGCCAGGGCCCAATCTAACAATTTTTGTGTTCAAGGCCTTTATAAAGACAAGTAACTCAAGTCATACTTAGATACGTAGAAAACAATGAGGTAATTGATTGGTATTATTAGCCAAATGTCATCAAAAGGGGGGTGCTTACCTATGTACTATGAATTGTTACACAGTTCACTGAATAGATTTAAGCAAAATCTATCATTTTTGATCAAATAAGTAGTTGTTTAAAACACATTGTATTCATTATATTCATTTCTTTTTCTTTAGGAGTATTGTCAAGCCCAACAGTCTCAAACTAAGGAGAATGAACAGAAAATAAACACTACACTTTCAGACAGTGGTAATAGAATTATTTAAGTTGATCACATTTATTCTGACCAATTGATAGCCAATTTATTCTGTTTTAGAATGCCTTTGAATAGTGCATTGTATTGAGTTTTAAGTCCAGAAGTAACCTCTAAAGTAAAATGAAAGAATGCATGCTTAATTTTATGTAAATGCTGATTCTTTTCCTTCTTGTATTGTGTTTATAGCTTCACAGTCGACTACAGACACTCAGCCTTCTCTGGCATCATCTGGCATGAACAAAATGCTTCCTTCAGTTTCAACCACAGCTGTTCAGGTTTCCTGTTCTGGTTGTAAGAAAGTTCTCCAGAAGGGGCAGACTGCTTATCAAAGAAAAGGGTCCACTCAGCTTTTCTGCTCCACACTGTGCATCACAGAATACATTTCATCTGCCAGTACACCAGCTCTTCCCAAGAGAACCTGTGCAAACTGCTCAAAGTATATAATTCTAAATTATGCCTCCTTTCATACTTTCCTACCTAGATCTTGATCAGAGTCTTGGCTAGAGTTTTCTACATTTTCATCTTACTCTGAAGAAGTATCACCTTGGTTTAGGAAAAAGAAGCTGCTGCTGCTTTCAGTTCCTCTAATTCTTTAGAAATAGTTTGTTGTTCATTGAGAGATTTTCAGAATTTAAAATATAAGTTCTATTTCTCTTCTGTAAACAGTGTGACCTCCAAAGCTTATTTTCCTGTTTTGTTTTTGTTTTCATTTGAAATTCTCTATCAGTGGGATTATTGTATGCCCGTTTTATCATTTAACTGTGTATGGAGCGATCTACTAAAAAAATCATACAACAATTATTTTGGATCTTCCAGGGTATAAAAATTATGTTTCTTTTGCAATGGTAAATGATGTTATTTAATTATTTTGAGAAATTGAATAGTCACAGGTAAACATAGATGGGTAGATATAATTTTTTCATGGTTTCTGTGAGCTATTGTTATGATCTTAGTTGTCTTTTTTCCTTTTTTTTACATATGTAAGTCAGTTTAGATACAGAGAAGGAAAGTAGTAGTGATTTCATACTGAATTCATGAAAAGTGTCTCAGAATATCTTACTGCACTGTACTCATCCTTGTGATGGTGCAGTGACCCTGGGTAATGAAACCATGGGAAGCAAAACCTTGCATAAGGGGGACCTGCTGTACATGCTGAAGTTTGAAAAGTATCAAGAACTTCTTTGTTAGTAGTCCCATCTGTTTTGTTAAATGCATATAAGGATTATGAATATTAAAATACTTTGTGATCAGCACAGTACTGGCATGTCGGTAAGAACTCATAAATGTTAGCTATCACTATTTTTACCTTAACAAATTCACAAACTCTTTAATGGTTGCTTCAGTTCCTTATTTGGCTGCTGCTTCAGGTCTTACCCATTACTTCAGGTCTTACTCCCTGGAACTTTACTTACCTTTCTCTTGTCCTTTTTTCAACCCCCTAGTCCTATACTTTGTCTTTTTTCTTTTTTGCTATGAGCTGTATGGCACTCTTTTTAGCCTGCTTTCTTCTGCAGAATCATAAAACTGGAAGGGACCTTGGAGATCAGCCAGTCCAAACATTTTCTTTTGATTTTGAGGAAATAGAGGCCCTGAGAAGTCAAGGTATCATGTTGCTATGTTTGCAGTTTACCCATTGTACATCTTTAGCACATTTCCCAAACAAATTGAAAAGGCTGAAGCAAGAAGGATTTAGTGCATAAGTTATTTTCTAAGGCAAACATTGAGTATGAGCAGAAATATGAAGCAAGTTTTGCTTTCTTTGGAATAAAATTTTTTTGATATAAAATACTATTTTATAGGTGGTAGTAGTGCCTAGGCTAGGAGAGGCCATCCATTGTTCAGAGGAACCTGTGCCACTTTCAAAACCATTTTTTATTCCACATTCATTAACCTCTTGTATTATATATAATTCTCAAGATTTTAGCTAATTATTGTTACTGTTGAGGTTTTGCAGCAATGATTTAAAATCTACATTGTTTATAAAATTCTTGTATTTCATGAATGAAATGAAAAATAGCTTTGAAAATGACATTTTAAATCATGTTAGAAAGATAAGACTTTTTTTTGGAGAGCCATGTATGTAAGAAGTGTCATTTATGCCCTTTTGTGTCCCAGTTGGAACCAGTGAGAGATCTGGAGAGAAATCAATAGAGTTTGAAATAACCCCATGCACTAATGCTGATAACACTTATTTGTTGGAAAGTTGTTCAGACCTGTGCTCAGTTTAAGCTAATTTTAGTCACTTGTAACAAAATTTACTTTTTTTAATCCCCACCTAAGGACATTTTGTTTTTCATTGCTTTCAGAGAGAGAGAAAGGGAAGGAGTAGGGGGAGAGGGAGGGAGAGAGAGAGAGGAAAGAGAGAGAAATATCAGTGTGAGAAAAACAATTGCCTTCTTGTATGCATACTGGCCAGGGGTTGAACTCTTAACCTGGGTATGTGCCCTGGCCAGGAATTGAGCCCACAGCCCTTCAGTGTACAGGATGATACCCTAACCAACTGAGCCACACTGGCCAGGGCCAAAATTTACTTTTCAAGTTTTTATTTATAAGGCCTTAGATGAAAGCCAGCAATCTAGTATACTAATAGCAGCATAAACCAGTACGCATTTCCAGAGTTCCATACTTCTATCAATGCAGTTTCTTCTGCCTCCTTTGCAATCAGGTTAATTTTGTGTCTTAAAAGCCTGCCTCAAATATCTTTACCTCTTGTCCATTCTCACATTGTTCCTTCCTCTTTTACTTCCCTACACCCATCCAGATTAATTGCTCCATGCTCTGTTTTCATAGTGTTCACAACTTCCAAAGCATTTGTCTAAAAATTGACACTACCCAGTTTACTTCTCCCCCTAGCAACAACTACTTTATTATTTTAATTTAAAAAATGTTTTTTCTATTACCATTTAGTTCCCTTAAACCCCCTACACTATCCAGTTTAGAAGATGAACTTCTTAACATTAGGGACTGGGTTATAGTCATCTTTACATCCATCCCCAAGGCCTAAACACTGCCTGGTACACAGTGAATCCTAGAATTTTCTGTCACGAAGTACAAGGATAGCACAACTCAAACTGTATTTAGAGCTATATTTTAAACCAGTGAAATGACTGATAATGTGTTAATGAAATGAACCTGTTATTTTTGCTACCATCTGTTTAAGAAGGTAGAAAATCATGCATAGTACACTAAAATTTTGTGTTTTTTTTTTCCTAAGTGTTGAAGTGTGACAATAGTGTTGATTTTAGGGGCATTTGCATCTGAAAAATTATCATCCTGAAATATCGATATTCTGGGGATTCTAGCTGGTGAGGTATGTTGGTATTTCCTGTAGTGGCAGTTCCCAGATTTTCTGGTCTCCAGATCCCTTTACACACTTGAAAATTAGGAAGACCCAAAGGGTTTTAGTTTTAGATAGGTTGTATCTACCAATATATACTCTGTTGGAAATTAAAACCAAGAAATTTTAAAACTGTTTAATTAACTTCTTTAAAATAAACTGCCCTGGCTGTTATAGCTCAGTGGATTGAGCGTGGGCCTATGAACTAAGGGATCACAGTTTGATCCCCAGTCAGGGCACATGCCTAAGTTGCAGGCCAGTTCCCAGCGGAGGACACACGAGCAGCAACCGTACTTTGATATTTCTCTCCCTTTCCTTCCCTTCCCTTCTAAAGATAAATGAATAAAATCTTTTTTTTAAATAAATAAAATAAACTTAGTGCATATTGACATACATTTTTTATTTAAAAAATAGCTGAATTTAAAAAATTTATTGAGAAGAATAATTCAGTGACCATTACTTTCATCAGTTTTACAAAATTGCTGGGTTTTTGTATCTGTTTCTGTATGCAGTGTTGCAAAATACCATTTTGGATGAAGTCTAAAGAAAATCTGGCCTTAAACTGTAATTGGAAAAGGGAGGTCCACTCTACTAGGCTTTCAGATAATTGTGGATGCTTTTTTGATGCAACATCAGAAAACAAGTGTTAGTTGTAACGTGTAATCTGAAACCATAGCAGTCGAGTTTTTTACTGTTAAAATTCCTTGGTCTACAGGGTCTGGCACAACTAAAACCACCCTTCTATTATAAACTTTTTTTAAAAAAAATTTTTAAGTCCTTAATATACATATATATATATATAATTTTTTATTTATTTAGATTTTATTTATTTATCTTTAGAGGGGAAGGGAAGGAGAGAGGGAGAGAGACATCAATGTATGGTTGCCTCTCATAGGTCCCCTGCTGGGAACTGGCCTGCAACCCAGGCATGTGCCCTGACTGGGAATTGAACCGTGGTTGTTTGGTTCATAGGCCCATGCTCAATCCACTGAGCTACACCAGTCAGGGCCAAAATCTTTTATGACAAAATCATAAGCATGTAATTCTGTAACTTGACAGTATCACACTCAAGCTCACCATATGGCATTTTAGGTAAAATGTTCAAATTAAAACTACAAATTATTGCACTCATATTATTACCCTACCAACCACACTCAAACAGGCCTTACTTCTGCTGGACCCTGTATTTGAACTTTGGTTCTTATACCCATAAATGATTTTTGCTATATGATCGGAAAATATTGGGTCACTGAATTATATGGATCTTCCAAATGTTTATGTATTTCATTACACAATATTTTTTAAAAATCATATTTTAAAAAATCACTAACCTCATCAGGAAAGTCCTAAGTAATAGGGAACAAGTAAGCTGGAGGTAGCAGATACTTATCCAAAATGTTTATTTTCAGTGAAAGCTCAAATTTTATCATTGGCAGTGAATACTGCCAGTTTTTTTTGTTTTGTTTTTTTGAAGTAACAGTTTTACTTTATTCATTGTTGAGAAAATACCTGCTAGGTATACACTTCTTGATAATAATTTGTCTAATAGTTTTTTCAAGTAAAAATGTGTTTCATGGGAAAAAATTGCTAACTTAGGTTGTAACTCTTAACATTACCACATCTGGTTTTCCTTGAGAAAGCCATCATCCTTGGGTGCACAGGGACAACACTTTATGCCTATATACCATTTCATTGCACAGAATATTTAAAAGATGTGATGTATTCAAGGATCAAGTTTCATAAAGAGAATAATTTTTACAGCAAAAGCTTGGCAGTGATAATACTGGTACTGGCACGTTTGTGCCACTGCCTTGATTTGTGCTAAGGCTCTGGCAATTTTACCCACCTCTGCTTTTTTTTTATTTCCTCTCAACTTAAGTAAAATTCACATGACAAAAGACCATTTCAGTAGGATTTAGTACATGATAGTGTTGTACAAGTACCACCTCTATCTAGGTACAAAATGTTTGTCAACCAAAGTAAAATGCTTTATTCATTAAGTAGTTTCTCCCCATTTCTTTCTCCTTTCCCCTTAGCCCCTGGCAACCACCAGCCTACATTCTGTGAGTGAATTTACCTGTTCTGGATATTTGGAATCCTGCATGTGATCTTTTAAGTGCCAGGATTCTTTCCCTTAACATGTTTTCCAGGTTCATCTATGTTATAGCATGTGTATCAGTACTTTGTTCATTTTTATAGCTAAATATTATTCCACTGTGTGAATACGCTATAGTTTGTTCATCTTTTCATTCATTGATGAACATTTGGGCTGTTTATAATCTAACTGTAGTGAATAGTCCTGTTACAAATATGCATGTACATATACTATTTTAGGTACTTATTTTCAGTTCTTGGGGATATTAACCTTGGCATAGAATCACAGGGGCCCACTATTGCTTTTGGGTCGTGAGTTAAAATGTACAGTGAAAAAGTAAAAAATATCTTAATGTGAAATAGTTTTGATCTTGTGGATTCCCCAAAAGTATCTGGGGGATCCCAGGGATTTGCAGACCATACTTTGAAATCTTCTGTCCCATAGATTTCAAAGTTGGTCAGGTATGAATATGTGAGTTGTCATCATTTTATTATCACTAGCACCATCACTAGCACCAACTAGTACAGATTAGGTAATTAACCTAAAGCTGCACTATCAGATGTGTTTTATAATTCCTACTTTACAGATGAGTAAATTAACAGGAAGTATAAATGACATAAGTAAAAACTGGATACCAAATTCAGGCTTTCTTATTTCAAGGCTAATATTATTACTATTTCACAGTTCTTCGGGTGAAAGAATTAACAGGGGAGAAGGTTGTTGGAGGAAGTGATTTTTAGCTTATGAAGACAAACTATAATTATGGTAAAACTGTTTAATGGTGCCCTTGTTATTTATTTTTGTTAGAGAGATTTTAAATCTAAAGGATGTGATCAGTGTCCAGCTGGAAGATACAACCTCTAGCAAAAATTTTTGCAGCCAGTCTTGTCTAAGAAAACTCTCTGTTACACTATATACTGACAGCATTTCAACTAAATGCAGCATGTGTCAGAAGACTACTCTTGTAAGTTGCATTTTTTTTAACCAGAAGGGATTCTGATTTGCTTTAAATACCAGAATTTCCACTGAATCTTTTTTTTATCCTAGATTCAATATGAAGTAAAATATCAGAATGTGAAACAGACTCTTTGTAGTAATGCCTGTTTCTCAAAATTTCACTCCGTTAACAACCTCATCATGAACTGTTGCGAGAACTGCGGGACTTACTGTTACACTAGCTCTGATCTGTTCCATATACTTCAGATGGAAGGACAGTTCCATTACTTAAATAGTTCAAAGACTATTTCGGCATGTAAGCAGGTAAGAATAAAGAAATGTCGCCTAAAGTGAGGATCACTCCATTTGAAATTGACTGTATAGGACCCAAATGAAAGATTGAAGATTGAGTTCCTTCCATTAATTGATTTGTGAATGATTTCACTTTAGGAAAATGTTGGGATATAGATTTTTAATACTATTGGGAACAGTTTTAGTTGGTAAGATGGTAAAGGAGATGAAATAAAAGACTCCTGATAGTTCCTTCTAGTATAATGACTCATGGTAGGTGCTATATGGAGATCTTCCTCAAGAATCTCAGGGTGATCATTTTACCTTGAAGAAAGGCATGCAGATGGAAACTTGTTTATAAACTACAAATAAAGGTAGCAAAAATAACAATAGTCTACTGGTAAGACTCAGCCACAAAAGTATTTTTAATTCCATGTATCACTTTACACCTAAGCAAGGTTAAAGTAAATCAAGAACGTCACTTTTTTTTTTTTAACCAGTCAGAGAGAAGAAATAAACCAATGAGAAATAATCTCCTAGTGTTGACAGGAGAACCTTGGGTGGGTGATGCTGAGCAGAGAAGCTGGCCCTGCTTTGGTAGACTGAGATGAACTCAGTGGTCTGAGCCCCTTTCATGAGGTGGGACTGTCCTAATATCTTGCTTGTTTAGGTGATGCTTTGAGATGCAACTCTATCCCTGTAAGTTCTTTCTTAAAAATAAGCAATTGAAGATGGGAGTCTTAACAAACCACAGTTCACCTAAGTCATTTGTGAACCACATATTGTTTATGGCAACTGCCTACACCAGAGAGTAGTATCATGTCTTGGGACTAGAAATGGGAGAATGGAGGGCATGGAAGCCTTCTTCCAAAGGCAAGAAATGCCATTCCTGGTTTTCCTTCTTTATTCCTCACATTCATTAAATAGGCCTTGTCCTGTTTTTAAGAACTTGTTTTGAGTACTTACTTATTCAGCCTGTGTGATGGGGCAGGGCTGATTGAGGTAGCTGTGTTAAAAAGCACCACTTAGGTAGCCCTGGCCAGGGGGCTCAGTTCATTGGAGCATCACCCTGTTCACCAAAATGTTGTAGGAGACAACCAATTGGTGTTTCTCTCTCTCTCTAAAAATAAATCAATAAACATCTACTGTACTCCAGTGAGGATTTTTTAAAAAACAAAAACCAAAAATAAGTCCTAGGCTCTGGCAGGTTGGCTCAGTTGGTTAGAGCACTGTCCGATATGCCAAGGTCCTGGATAAGATCCCTGGTCAAGTCACGTAAAAGAATCAGCCAATGAATGCTGTAGTAAGTGGAACAACAAATTGATGTTTCCCTCTCTAAAATCAATAAAAATTTTCAAAAAAAATTTTTTTTAAAAAGTACCACCTAGCCCTGGCTGGTGTGGCTCAGTGGATTGAGCATGGGCCTGCAAACCAAAGGGTCACCAGTTTGACTCCCAGTCAGGGCACATGCCTGTTGTGGGCCAGGTCCCCAGTGCAGGCCACATGAGAGGCAGCCACACATTGATCTTTCTTTCCCTCTCTTCCCTCTCTAAAAATAAATAAAATCCTTTTTTAAAAATGCATACTAATAAAAGATAAAAATACAAATTTTTAAAATTATACTCTGCTTTTTGTTGTTTCTTTGCTAATTTTCACAGAAAAAGAAAATTTGTATAAAGTATTTTCATTTGTCTTCGTACATTATGCCCCCCAAAACCATCATGGTTAACTTTGTAATTCCAGAAATGATGGTTCCTGTTTCACTAGAAAGACTAGGTGATGAACCTCACAGTTTCTGTCCTTTTCTTTTGTGCAATCACTGCTTATTGAACACAACTTAGTCTGTACCTCTTGCTGCTTGTATGCTTTCTTTCAGTGTGCCTGCAGTTTTTACCATGTAAGTTGGCCTAGAAAAAGTGACTCCCTCATCTTATAAAGTATGTTAAGCCCTTTTCTAGCTCCTCCTCAGCACCAACAGAAGGCTTTCCTGAGTTGATGTCCAAGTAGGCACTGAGGAACAGCCTACAGTTATAAATCTTTTCTTTACTTGTAAAATTGGCTTTGATTGCCTGGGATGGTGAACATATTTTATGACCACTTTCTTCATTGTATGTGTGTTAAAATTGCTATTATATATCCAACAAATAATATAGTTACCTAATGGAGTGGTCAGCTTCCTGCATTTTAATCTGTGTACCTCGTGGTGCCACCTTCTCTGGTTTTAAGAAAGTAAAAATGTGGCTTCCCTGTCATTAGTTGTAAAGTAATGATATTGGGTATATTTTTATGATAGTATGTTAATAATTTGTCATATACCTGCAATATATTATTTTAATCTCTAGCAGAAACCAGCCAGAACACTTACGTCTGGTCTTTGCAAATCATTGAAGCCCTCAGATGAAATGATTGAGATCACCAATGACTTGGGGAAGACAGAGCTTTTCTGCTGTGTTAATTGTTTCTCTGCTTACAGTAAAGCTAAGATGGAATCTTCTACAGGTAATACTTGCTTAGTAATCAAAGGTTTGGTAACTCCTGAAGAATATTACTGCCTCCTTTAATGCGTAACCTTGATTTATTTACAACTTAGATTTAAAAGTCAAAACCATTAAAAACTTGTTGCAAAGAAATAGTTTCCAGTATTTTTGTATAAAAGGAAGGCTGCTTCACTACCAGACATTTAATGTTTGTAAAAACTGTTGTATTAGAATAGGATCTTGTACTTAGCCCTGCTTTGTAAAAAACAAGGCTTTACAATTTTCACATAAAGTAGAGCCAGTTGGAAATATCTGAATTTCACTAATAGAAAAAGCACAGATAATCCAAGGACCACTATACATTACCTCAAAGATCCACATATGGGACCAGTGATGCTATTTACACACACAGTGCAGTTGCATGATGCCCTTGGGGCTTGTACATCTTGTAAACCAGCTTATTATAGAAATCTCTACAAAACTAGCTTACACAACAACCCAGTTCCATTTGTGTTGAGGTTTGTGATTCTTGAAAGAATTAGAAGTGATGCCTGTTAGGAAATTCTATAGGAGTCTGTTTTCTGTTCTTCATGGTAATTTCACAAATACTTGCTTGAAATTTCAGGCAATTAGTATAAAGGCTGAGAAACTGTATGCAAAGGTAAAAGATACAAAATGATAGGAAATGTAAATTACTGGCTTAACCTTGTTATTGATGTTATCCTCCTAATAAAAATCACTGCAGTACCCAGCAGTACATAAAGTTATTAGATAATTTGCATTGTTCACTGAAAACACTTACTAAATAGTGCTTTCTGATTTATTCTGCCTGATTTATAAGAAATCTTTTTATTTTCATTAGTAAATACTTCTGTGGTGCATGATACTTCAGTGGAGCTCCTTTCTCCAGAGAAGCAATTTTCTCCAAAGAAAGATACAACTCCAGTTATTAGCAATATAGTGTCATTGGCTGATACGCCTGCTGATACACCTGCTGATCCACCCATCATGAACTCTGATGTCTTACAAGGTAAAAATTGATGTGACATTTGACATATATACTATTTTGTCATAATTGATCAATCTATGTTCTAAATGTTCTGTGTTGCCTGATATGAAAGCAGCAATTATAGTTTATGGTGCTACTTTTATGCTGCTATTTTATAGATTATAAGATCTTGAATTTATGCTTTAACAGGTACAGTTTCTTCAGAAAGAGGAAATGTCCTATCAGATGTAAGATTTTTTTTCTCTTTCTTAAGCTTTTCCTTTTTAAATGTGTGTGTGTGTTTGTGTGTGTGTGAGCGTATTATTCCTGTTTTGATCCTAGAGCTCAAAATTATATAGAGCAATAAACACCTTTTGGTATTTCTATTCAGTTTCCCAAATGTCAAGTTTGACATTGTTATTAATAAGAATATTTAAACAGAAGTATTACTAGCCATAGTTTTTTCCTTTGAGTTCTGATTTTCCTTAATATTTATTAAGCAAAACTCACCTGATCAATAAAAAGTATTTTAGTATTTTTTATTATAATTATATACCAAAAGATCCTTAAGCAGTTAGTGTTGAATCTAGGGTGCAAATGGATAAATTATAAATTGTTAATGTTTCCCCCTCGTGGAGCTCATACTGTAACTCACCCAGTGACTTTATTGTGTTATTAGAATAGGTGCATTTGATATTTTAATTATTTGGGAACTATTAAAACAAATACGATCTTCTCACTTTCTACTGAAGGTTTCTAAGAGTTCACCCAGCGAGTCAAGTAGTGGTGTTGCTAATAGTAGTGTGGAACACCCAAGCCTTTCACCATCTTCATCAGTACTCAATCAGCATACAATTGGCTCCAGTATAGAAGTACAAAAGGACCAACTGTCAAACCAAGACGCTACACACAATAAGAAACCTATGAAAATACGTGATAGACTATATCATCCAAAATTTACATCTAAAGTACAGAAAGTTAAAGGCAAATCAAAAAGTATTAAAAATTTTCAGTGTTCAAATTTTCAGAAGCCAGAAACCAGTGTTAAAAAGGATGCAACATTCTGTTACTCATGCCAGTTGTTCTGCCAGAAAAAATATAGCTATGGAGGACAGTCATTTGCAACCCAAGGAATTTCTAATTGGAAGAAAACTCTGAAAAATTTCAGAAAGCATGAAAAAAGTAAAATGCATTTGAAGTCATTGCAGTTTTGGAGGGAATACCAGTTTTGTAATGACACTGTCAGTGACAATTTACCTATTCATTCAAAACAGATGGAAGGAAATAAAAAGTACCTAAAGCTTATAATTGAAAATATTTTATTTCTTGGAAAGCAATGTTTACCCTTAAGAGGAAATGACCAGTCTATTTCATCTGCAAATAAAGGCCATTTTTTAGAGTTGTTAGAAATCAGAGCAAAAGATAAAGGAGAAGAAATATGTAGACTTATGAGCTCACAAGTTGACTTCTATAATAGTACGCAAATACAAAATGATATTATTGAAATAATAAAGACTGAAATGTTGCATGATATTGTGAATGAGATCAATGTCTCCTCAGCTTTTTCATTAATATGTGATGAGACAACTTACAGTGCCACTAAAGAACAGCTTTCAGTTTGTGTAAGATACTCACAAAAAACATCAAAGGCTATCTTAATTAAGGAAAGATTCTTGGGTTTCATAGATGTTGAAGAGAGGACTGGCATCAGTTTATACAGGTCTATCACAACTTACCTGCAGCAAATTGGAATTGATTTGAATAAAATAAGAGGCCAGGCTTATGACAGTGCCAGTAATTTGAGGATAATATTCAATGAAAGTGCAGCAGAATTCAAGAAGGAAGAACCAAGAGCTTTATATGTACATTGTTATGCCCATTTTTTGGATTTGGCAGTAATTAGGTTTTGTAAAGAAGTAAAAGAACTCCGAAGTACTCTAAATACTCTTGGTTCTTTGTTCGACACTATTCATATGTCTGGGGAAATGTCTGCAAATTTTCAGAAGATTTGTAAACTAAGTCAAAACAAAACTTGCAAGAAACATGTATCACAATCATGTTGGACAATCCATGATCATACATTACTGTCTGTGATTGAGGGTCTTCCAGAGATTATCGAAACATTGGAAGTTGTATCAAGCCATTCTTCTAACACAAGTTTGGCTGATGAATTGAGTGATTTGTTGACACTGGTTTCCAAATTTGAATTTATCTTTTGTTTGAAGTTTCTTTATCGAGTATTAAGTGTCATAGGGATTATTTCCAAAGAGCTTCAAAGTGAAACCATAAACATTTTTTCTTTGTCTTCAAAAATAGAAGCAATTTTGGAATGTTTATCATCTGAAAGAAATGATGTCTGTTTCAAAACTATCTGGGATGGAGCGGAAGAAATATGTCAAAAAATAACCTGTAAAGGTTTTGAAGTTGAAAGACCTTATTTTTATAAAAGAAGAAAAATTCAGAAAACAGTAGATCTTGGCAATTCAGACCGTGTGTTTTTTCCTACCTCAGCAGAAGAACAATATAAAATTAATATTTATTACCAAGGATTAGATACTATATTCCAGAATTTAAAACTATGTTTTTCAGAACTTGATTATTGCAAAGTAAAGCAAATTTCAGAACTGTTACTTAAGTGGAATGAACCATTAAATGAATCAACAGCCAGACATGTCCAAGAATTTTATAAATTTGATGCAGATATCATCCCAGAACTTAGATTTTATCGTCAGTATGCAAAGCTCAACTTTGTCATAGATAATGATCATACCAACTTTATCAATCTTGGCCATTTGTTTATTCAGCATGGTCTTCATAATAATATTCCTTGCATATCAAAGCTATTATATATTGCTTTGTCTTGGCCGGTTACCTCAGCAAGTGTTGAAAACTCATATTCTATACTGCCTCGTCTTAAAACATATTTATGTCATACCATGGGACAAGAGAAGCTTAGTGGCTTGGCCCTAATGGCTGTTGAGCAGGAATTGGTAAATAAACTGCTGGAGCCTGAAAGGCTCAATGGAATCGTGGAAAAGTTTGTATGTCAGATAAAAGATATATAGTACTTGCTAATTTGAATTTACCAGAAAGAATTTTTTATTTCTACTGTAATTTAAGTTTTTACTTCAGATTTTTGCCTCTCAGGGTTTTTATCTTCAACTTGCCTTTTTCACTTTACATGGTATTTTTGAGATTGTCCCATGTCAGTACGTGAAGAGTTTCTTGATTCTTTTTTTGTACAATTGCAGAAGACTTAATTGTAAGGATGTACCATAATATATGGGAATAGTCTCTACCAAACACATTTAAATTCTTTTTTGCTAGTATAAATAATGCTGCATTTACTAACTTTGCACGTAAGTCAGATAGCACATTAGTAAGATAAAATTTTAAGTTAGAATTACCATGTCAAAAGATTTGTACACTTTTGATGGGCATGTTGCTTTCTGCCAGGATTGTGCCAATTTATAGTCCCACCAACAATATGTGAGAGTCAAGTATTTTTATCTTTGCTGATCTGTTAGTCAGATAATAGTATTTTAATCTCTGTGATTAAATCTCTGGAATTTTGCACTTTCACTTAAGGATGAGGTTGGGTGTCTGCTTGAGCCATTTGTAATCCTTTACTGTGAATTATAACATTTAAATATTAAAATCAAATATTGCTGTGTTTTTCCTTGAAATAATAGCTGGATGACAAAATAGGAATTCTCAACCTACTTTATGAAAACGTAACTTTTTCAAGTAACCCCCAAAGGACTCTTTATCTACCTTTATACTTTGTAAAAAGTTAAGATAACAAAGGAAATCTGTTCCTTAAAGATCTGAAAGACTTTAGTGGTAGATATAGCTGTGCCAGGTATCTCTTATGGGGGAAGTATTTCTCTGGCACTTTTCCCTTGCTGTTTCTTTTCATCAGTTTTTATAATCTATATTTTTTCTGAAAAAGAGTATTTCATGGAGGATTTCCTTTCAAGTGTATTTGCTTAGAGTTGTAGAAAGTATTCTCAATTTCTTATATGCTAATACTTTCTTCATTGATCTTTCTCTACATGTTTTCTTTCTGGATTACATTAACTAGTGATTTGTTTTCATGCATTCTTAGATTTATCATTTCTACTTTATTTTTTAAATTATGGTTGATTTTAACATACAAATATGAAGAACACAGGCAACATTTAATCCTATTAAACCCCAACATTTTTCCATGCTCCCAGATTTTATTCCTGAAATATTATAGATCAAATTAAAGCTCCTTAAAAATCTTTTCCTAATAACATTTCTTTTTTCTGTAGTGACAAGAATTATTTGGTGTTCATCATTCCATGAATGCGTAGTTTTATACTTAACATACAGCCTTGTTTATACTCTTGACATAAAACTGCATAAGTTGTGTTGCACATATCTTTCTGCAGTTTGCTTTTTTCACTCAATGTTTTTTGAGTCTTTGATTTGTTTCTCATTATTTTAACTGCTGAAGAATAAGCCATTATGAGTATACACGTTCATCCTTTATTTAAATGGGTAATATTGTATGGTTTACCACTTTCATTATAATACTCCAAGGATCATTTTTCTTTGTGGTATGCACTTGTACATCCAACAAGTATCTACTGAGACACTACATACACACATTATTCAAGCTGCTGGAGTTCCAGCAGGGAATAAAATGAGAACCTGACTCCAATGAAACTTAGTTTTTTAATATGGAAATCCAAGACAGATACTAGAAGAGGTCATTTATCAATTATTTTCATGTAGATAGATGACAATACAGAAAAATTTGTATGCTGTACTAGGATAAAAGATGAGACTTTGGGAGCTGTGGCCATTTAAGGCCTTACCCAACCACCCATCCCTGGCACACCAGTTCAGAAGATCTGCTGTAGGGTGCTTCACTAAAAGTGGACTTGACAAGTTGAGTCTGTATATACCTTACACTTTAATTAGACATTTTTTCATTCCCACCAACAATAGCATTACTCTTTCTAAAAAATTCATTGACTTCAACTTTTTTTTATTTTTTAACACATAGAAAAGCAGTTAACCTTCTCTGGCCTAGTAGCTCAATTGGTTAGAGCACTGTCCTGATATGCCAAGTTGTGGGTTCCATCCCCGGTCAAGACATGACCAAAGCCACCAATAAATGCATAAATAAATGGAACAAGTTATGTTTCTCCCTTACTCTAATTTTTTTAAAAAGCAGTTATCTCTGCTTTTGGGTGCTTACTGCATATATTTTCATTCTTTTCTGTATCATTATGAAAGTGCTTAACACTGACTTTCCTCTGAAGTCTTTGTCTACCATGTATTTTTCTCATTTTCATTTTCTAACTATCTGCAGTTGTGGTTTCTATCTTGTCATGGAAGCAACAGTTAATTTCAAGAGGCTAGGGTTTGTTTTTTTTTTTGAATTTTCAAAAACAATTTTTAGTCAGTAAGCCTATAATGTAAGACCTAGACCTGAAAAAGGAAACAAAAATAAAACAGCCGTTGAATCTGTTGAATACCTTCTATGTAGGCTAGTATTTTTCTCTGTGTTATGGTATTTTATTTAGTTCTCACAACAGCCTTTACTTTATAGAGGAAACAAAGACACAGGTATTATAGACCACAATTTGTAATGGTGAAGCTAGGATTTGTATACCCAGGCAGAGATCCCAAAGCCCATTCTCTCAGTCACTCTGCTTTACTACCTTTTATACAGATTTAGCCACAGATCTCCCTAATTATGAGATTAACTACCATTAATACATTAAAAAATAAATATGGAAGAAATAAAAGTGTAGTTTTTCAAAAACAAAAACCCAGGCTCAACATTTACAACATATTTTGGTGACAAAGTAACCAGTGGTCCCAAAATAAGATTAGGTAGTGACAAACTCAAAAGCAGGTATAAGACCTGAATGACACTGGCTATCTGTATAGATCATGGAGGGACAGCAACAAGATGCCTGATGGCCTTCAGAATAGATATCCAAAACCAATAGGTTCCCACTGGGAAGCATACAGGGCAATTTGAAAACAGCCAAAACAAGAAAGACCCACAAAGATGGCAATTTGCAAGTGAGTTTCAGGGGACTGCTAAGTTTTGAAGGTTGAATAGGCTAGGTCCTTACAAACTCTCGAGACCAGCAGGCCTAAGCTTCATGCTAAAACAAGATCCATTTAAGGAGTAATTACTGACTATAGGTACCGAACTGAACAGGGGCAAAGAAAGACTGCAGATTAAGGTGAAGGAAGAGAAGCAAAAGGAAATCTCAGTAAAAGTAATAGGGATGTGGGTATGCAGGAGGCAGTTGATGTTTACCTCTCTCTCCCTCCCATCTCTAAAATAACATCTTTATTTTTTTAATCTTTTGTTTTTAAAAACAAAAAGGATTTCATGAGCTTTGAGCTTAGAAATGTTATTCAATTCCTTTCCCTCCTGAAAGGAAAATGGATTTCACATAGTGAGCAACAGAATTGTGAAATATAATACAAAATTAGAATATAGAACAGTGAATCCTTACCCCTGTTTCGATGATAAAAGCTATAAATGAGAATTAGGAAGCAGATGAGTGGATAAAAGATCTGAAAAGTGGCAATTCATGAGAGTGTTAGAAATTAAAAGGAATAAAAATCACTTTGGAAACTATAAAGAACTCACATAAACAATTGATGATCCCTAGAGAAATAAAGGACACAAAGGATGAAAATGTGTTCAAAAGACAGAATATTACTTGGCTGTAAAAGGGGAAATCTTACTCTTAGCAACAGCATGGAGAGCATTATGCTAAGTGAAGTAAGCCAATTGGAGAACGACAAGTATGTACCATATGATTATCCTTGTGTGTGGAATCTAAAGAGCAGGATAAACTAACAAAATAGAAACAGACTCAGAGAACAGTGACAGCTGTTAGAGGAGCAGCTGTTACCAAGCTGGGTGAAATGGGTAAAGGAATTAACAAAAAACCCTCTCAGACACATAGTATGGTGATTACCAGAGGGAAAGGTGGGTAGGGGTGGGTAGAAGAGGATACAGGGGGCTTAAATGGTGATGGAAGAAAACTTGGGATAGTGAACACTACAATATACAGATGATGTATTATAGAATTGTACACCTGAAACCTATATAATTTTCTTAACCAATGTCACTCACCCCAATAAATTTAAAATATATATGACCCTGGGTGGTATGGCTCAGTGGAATGAGCTCTGGCCTGCCAACCAAAGGGTTGCTGGTTTGATTCCCGGTCCAGGGCACATGCCTGGGTTTGGGCCAGGTCCCCAGTAGAGGTGCATGAGAAGCCATCACATATTGATGTTTCTCTCCTTCTCTTCCTCACTTCCCATCTCTAAAATAAAATCTTTAAAAAGCCCCAAACCTGATATCTGTATGTAAAATAAATTCTCAAATCTGAAATGGTGCAAAATACTGAAAACAATATAGCAGTCCTTGTGGTACTACTACCACTGTTTTAAGTTCACAATCCAAAGACTTGACTTTTCTCCTAATACTTGATGAGGAATCTCTGGTTCCAAATGAATAGGTAAATTGAAAGCTGGTCTCTAAACTATCAAATGCAAAAATTATTCCTCTTTAGGCCTATTATTGCTAAGGGCAAAGTGTTTTTCTACTGTTCAGTCCAAAACCCCCCTTCCTTATTTTTAATTCTCAGTTGAGGACATGCCTATTGATTTTAGAGACGAGGAAAAAGGAAGAGAAGTATCAGTTTTCTGTCTCCTGCACGTATCCCAGCTGGGGCCCAAACCCGCAACCTGGCATTGTGCCCCGACAGTGAAGTGAACCCATGACCTTTCTGTTTGCAGGATGCCCAAAGGAGCCAAACCAGCTGGGGCCCAAAACCCTTTTCCTAGACACACTGGCTTCCCTTGTTCAATGTAGGACTGCTTTGCAACCTGTTGGGATTACTACTCCAGCACCTGTCATTTAGGTGTCTTTTTACCTCCGTACTACAGGCTGAGTCTTCCAAAATCTCTCTTTCTCACTGGTCTCAAGAGTCACCAGTCCATTCTGGCTGGTGTGGCTCAGTGGATTGAGTACTGGCCTGCAAACCAAGAGGTCTCTGGTTTAATTCCCAGTCAGGGCACATACCTGGGTTGTAAGCCAGGTCCCCAGTAGGGGGTATGCAAGAGGCAACCACACATTGTTGTTTCTCTCCATTTCTCCCTCCCCTCCCTTCTCTCTAAAAATAAATTTTTTTTAAATTCACCAGTCCCTTTTCCTTTTAGAAATTAAGACATATCTAATCATTTTATGAAACAGTATTAAGTGTTCCAACCATCTCAGCCTAGACCATCAGCTATTCAAATGAAATAGCCATCTTAGACAATAGCTATGGACCCCAACAGTCTGTAAAAGTTTCCAGCTCCAGCTTCCATCTGCCTAGCTGAGCCCAGTCAACTGTTACTTTGTTACTCTGAGCCACCAAGCATTAGTTAACAAATTGCTGCTGTGCTGAAAATAGATCATGTGGACAAGGAATAAGCCAAGTTAGGAATCCATTTTAATCTAGGTGATTTCACTGCCTCTTGTTCAAGTGGATGAGAACAAGGGAAAGCTCTTAGAATAAGAATCAAAATCCTTTACGTGGCCTAGCAGGTGTGTCCCACCTGCAGCCCAGGATGGCTAGGAATGTGGCCCAACACAAAATTGTAAATTTACTTAGAAATCTTTCTCATCAGTTTTCATTAGTGTTTATGTATTTAATGTGTGGCCCCAAAACAACTCTTCCATTGTGGCCCAGAGACATCAAAAGCTTGGACACGCCTGGTAGACCTTCCACGATCTGACCTCTGTTCTGACCTTTTACCTTCCAACTCCCATGGTCTTTATTAAAAACTTAAAAAATTAAATTCACACAACACACATTTCTTCCAAAGTATACAATTTAATGGTTTTTAGTATAATCAGGTATTTATGTCACTACTAATTTTAGAATATCTTCATTACCTCATAAAGAAATCCTGTGTCCTTCATCAATCACGCCCCTATTCATTACACTACCCTTTCTCAATCCTGACCACCAGCCCGAAAACAACCAACAATCTACTATATAGACTTCCCTGTTCTTACCATTTCATATAAATACTGGGTTAGCCAAAACATCCATTAATTACACTTTTTCCATATGATGGCTCTAGAAGTTAGTTGTCACTAACCTCATTCAAAACAATTTTGTTACATTATATGGTGACAGCTGTCACATCAGTGTGCATTTAAAAAAAGCTTGTCAGCTCTGGCAGGCTTAGTGAATTGACTGCCAGCCTGTGAATGGAGAGGTTGCACGTTTGATTCCCTGTTGGAGGCACTTGCCTGGGTTACAGGGAAGGTACCCAGTTGGGGGTGTATGAGAGGAAACTGATGATTCTCTTACACACTGATATTTTTGCTGTGGGGTGTCTTAGGTCTTTTTGGCCAACCCAATAGAAACGCTTAAGTGGTAATTTATGGTTAGCTTCATGTAGTGTTTTCAAGGTTCATCTATGTTATAGCCTATGTGACTATTTCATCCCTTTTTATAGCCGACTTATACTCCATTTGGCCATATAATTTGTTTATCCATTCATGTTTTCACTATTATGAATGATGCTAAACATCCACAAACTTTCCTATGAATATTTTTCTCAGGTATCAGAATTGCTGAGTCATAGGGTAAGGGTTAGTTTGAGCAAATACTAGACCTTTTTTTCAAGGTGGCTACATCATTTTAAATCCCACCAGTAGTATATGATGATTCCAATTTCTCCATATCCTTGCCAATATTTGACTTTCTGACCGTAAATGTTCTAGTGGATGTGGAGGGATATCTTCCACCAGCTTGACTGAGATTAACAGACAAAATTGTTAAGATATTTAAAGTCTGGATTATGATTTGGTGTAGTCATATGCCACTTAATGACAGAGACATGTTGTAAGAAGTGCACCATTAGGTGATTCCATGGTTGTAGGAACATTAGTGTACTGACACAAGTCTAGACGGTATAGCCTACCACACACCTAGCCAAAAAAGCTTGTGCAGCATGTTCCTGTATAAAACGTGATTTAAATCAAACACAAGAAAAAGGATGCATCCAAAACACAGTAAACACAAGATGAGGCTGCTGCTGGTGTAACATGGCAAATTGACAGTAAATGTTTTTTGTAAGTAAAAAGAGTTGATTCTAAAATAACAATAAATTGCCCTGGCTGGTGTAACTCAATGAATTGAGCATGGGCCTGCAAATCAAAGGGTCTCTGGTTCAATTCCCAGTCAGGGCACAGTTCCTGGATTGTGGCCCAGTTCCCCAGTTTGGGGTATGTGAGAGGCAACCACACATTGATGTTTCTCTCCCTCTCTCTTTCTTCCTCTCTACAAATAAGTAAGATCTTTAAAATAATAATAAAATAAAAGAGTACAGTACATAAACCAGTCATTTATTATGAAGCATTATGCAATGAACATAATTGCATGTGCTATATTATTATACAAATGGCAGCACATGTTTGCTTACACCAGCATCACCATGAACAGGTGGCTCCAGGCCACTGTACATGCAGCCCACTGTTGTATGAAACATTAGGTGGCACATGACCGCACATATACATTGTGAAAGAATCCATCACCTCATGGGGTTTGGTTTTTGAGAGTATTCAAGTTCTAGGCAGTTCTACAATGCAGTTAACTGTAGTCATTTTCACATTTTATCTTTAGAGGGAAAGGGAGAGAGGGAGAGAAACATCAATGTATGGGTTGCCTTTCATGCGTCCCAGGTCCCCTGCTGGGAACTGGCCTGCAACCCAGGTATGTGCCCTGACTGGGAATTGAACCACGATCGTTTGGTCAGCAGGCCTGCACTCAATCCACTGAGCTACACCAGCCAGGGCATAGGCCTTTCATTTTATAGCTGTTTTGAAGTGTTATTTTTATTTCCAATTCCCTAATCAACTTCCAGCATTTAATGTGTTACTGGCCATTTGTCTTCACTTGGAGAAATTTCTATTCAAACCCTGTACCTATTAAGTTTTTTTTAGAGACGGGGGAGGGAAACATCAGTGTGTGGCTGCCTCTTGCATGCATTCCCACTGGGGATCTGGCCTGCAACCCAAGCATGTGCCCTGACTGGAAATTGAACCAATGACCCTTTGGTTCGAAGACTGGTACTCTAACCACTGAACCACATCAGCCAAGGCTCCTGGGCCTATTTTTAAAAAAACTACTAATTTTAGAATGAAGGGCAGGTAAGATTGATTTCTTATTCCACTTATTTTTATGCATTCACTGGTTGCTTCTTATATGGCCCAGACTGGGAATCCAACCCACTACGCTGTGGTGTACCAGGATAACACTAACACCTGAGCTAACCAACAAGGGCCCCTTGTCCTTCACCTCCCCCCCCAGCCCCAAATGTGTCCTTTACCTATTCCAGATGGAAGTCCCTAATTTGATACTCTTGCCCCTTCTTTGGGTGGTCTTTACACTTGCTTGACAGTTTCTTTGAAACAAAGTTTTTAACTGGTTAAGTCCAACTTGTTTACTTCCTGGTTTTTGCTTGTTTTTGGTGTCTTATGTAAGAATCCTTTGCTAAACTCAAGGTCACTAAGATTTACCCATTTTTCTCCCCAAGTTTCATAGTTTTCATTGCCATATTAGGTATCTGAACCACTTTCAGTTAATTTTCGTACACTGTGTGAGGTAGGGGGCCTATATGAATCTTAGAATCAGCCCAGATCATGTTGAATCTGTAAATCAGTTTGGAGACTACTGCCATGTTGACAGTTCTTTCAGCCCACGAACATGTTTTCCCATTTGGATCTTCAGAATTCCTTCCAAGTCTTTCGTGCTGCCTTTTGCCTCAGGCATGTTTGGAACTCAACCTATTTTTTTTGGTGCACAACATTACATGCCCCAAATATCATGTGTTAACATCTTCTGGACTTTACATGTTGTAAGTTCTGAGCTTGTTAGGCTTGCTTTCCCTCTACCTTGTCTTCACACTCAGTGACATCTGTGTGTCAGGCATTGTGCCAAGTAATTAAAATACCAACCACTAATCAACATACAACCTTACTAGGCAGGGATTATTTGAGATTTTTTCTAACTTGTTATAGCTAAATGGTCTCTACCAGGACTTCTAATCCCTTCAGTACTAATAAGGCTTTATTACTACTTTCCCCCTAAAGACTCCATGGTGTAAAAGCTTACCAAAATTAACATTTCTGTACTGTCAAATATAAAACTACCAGATATAATGACCTGGTCTATGGAGTCCTCAACTTGCTGTGAACCCTGAGTGACCATATTAAAAAATACCTTGTACTACCCCCTTTGTGCCAGAAAACGTGCTAAATGCTTTTTGTGCACCATGTTTTATTCAAGGGTCCCAATTAAGAAGGTAATGTTTATTTTACCAGTAAGCAAACTGCAACTTGCCAGATAATGCAGCTCGACAAATTGCAAAATACTTGTACTCTAGACTCTAGTACTTAAGATCCCGTTATGCTCCTCCCCTACTTTATTAATTATACTGCAGACTGTTCTTGCCTTGAGATTCATAAAGCTTCAGATCAGTTAGCAATCAGAAAGGAGGAACAGAAAGTTGAACCAAGACATGGACTCAGAAGATTCTTGATTTGGGATGGCTGGCCTCCCTGCTTATTTAAAAAAAAAATACAGCAACTACTGATAAGCAGAATGACTATGGCCAAAAAGAAGAGAAGGATCTTGGTCTCAACCAGGTAACTACTATACTATAGAGTTTTTCAAAACAAATTCCATGGAACCAGTGACTACTGTGACTTTCAACTCTTTCTTTGTGGCTATTTCAACTAATCTCAAACTCTTCTGAATTCTAACTTTTTTTCCTTAATCACAGCAAGCTCATAAATTAGCACTTTAGGTATAAAATCTATAAAGAATAAAGGCAATATTAAAACTTGATGCCTAAATCAGTTTAGTTAGGACAGAAGGGCCATCTAACTGATTAACAACTAAAAGGCTGAAGTAGCTCTGACAAAAAAGCCTCAAGAAATAGAGTCCTGAATAATCTGTTCTATGTCTAGAATATGGAACATCCTTTTTAAAGTCACCTGGAACAACAAGTTGATGACATAGGAAGAACTCTATAAAATGAAAGAGTACTACTTAAAAACAGAATAAAAGGACAATCTGATTTTAAAATGTCTTTTATTAACAATTAGGTTGTTCATTCCTCTTTGCCCTCTTCCTCACTGGTTTCCTGGACACAGTTCACCTGATCCTGCCAATCAAAGGAAACAATTACTCCCAAAAGATGTAAAAATCAGAGTTATCAAGATCGTTAGCACCAACCAAGTAAACTTCCTAACACCAAAGAAATATTAATCAAGGAGTGTGGTATCAATGGTATTATTAATAGTCTAAGGTTTCTTTAGATGTAAATTGTTTAAAATTTCAAACCTATGAGGGCCTTTTAAACCTGAATGATACGTATCTATACATGTAACTCATTAGAGGAGATAGTAACCTACAATCTACAGCCACCTTTTCATGAAGTTTTATCGGACAGAGCCATGTCCATTGTTTATACATTGTCTTTACCTTCCAGCTATCACAGCAAAGTTAAGTTGCCCTTTGAAATTGCCAACCATTCTAACAGATCACTTATATTATTTTGTTTGCCATCTATTTTGAACTATAGATGATGCCACTATGTAACTGTAAACATGAAAAACAAAACGGAATTTCAAAATCTCCAAGCCCTCCTCTGCATGGTGCTATGGGGAAACACACACACACACTGTCTCTCTCTTAAAAACTGAAATCCCTGTTTTTCTGAGGCTTGAGTCAAAGCAACTAACAAAGGCCTACAACCTCAGAAGGCTGTTAAAACCATTAAATACTTAAGTACTGTAAAAACTATTTCCTTCAAGAAAGTTTTAACATAGAAGAAATTAAGATGAGATATTCACACATAAGTACTGTATTTCGCCATGAATAATGTGCATTTTACCCAAATTTTTAAGGGAAAAATAAGGATGTACATTATACATGGTTCTTCTGTTTTGTAATTATTTGTCACAACATAAAATTCCTTGTACCATAGTATGTTAAAAAAATAAATACTAAAATTCCTTTACAGTACAGAAAACAAGTTTCTAAATATAAATTAAAAATTTAAACTATTTCAGGAAAGATTTTTTTCCTTGAAAGTTTGGGCCAAAAGTGTGGATGCACATTATATTATACACAGCCAAATATGGGAATTATTTTTGTACCACCCAAGAGTCGTTTTTTTTCTGTAGGATTTTTACAGAGTAAGAGTCACTTAACTTACCTTAACACTTCCAAAGTCTAGCAGGTTTTGGCTTTCCTTCTTGGTTGGCTCATGCTGGGTGATGTCTTGAGAACAATTATCCACCTATTTTCAAAAAATGTACTTTTATTAAAATAACACCCTCAGCATATTACATTCTTACTGATGTTTAATGTGTATACTTTGTTTGGGTTCCAATTAGTGGTCTTATTCATTAGACTATGTCTATACCAAGGTCAAACTCTAAACTTTCTCACTTTTGTTCCTCTACTATTTACTAAATAAGAAAAAAAAGAACCTTAAGTAAATTTTGAATGGGTCCTAAGGCAAATTTAAAACACTGAAAATATATCATTTGTCCGCTAATTTAAGCCTCCTTTTCATAAACAATTTTAATATATTTTTACAGCGAGAGGAAGGGAGGGAGAGAAACAATAATATGTGGATGCCTCTTGTGTGCCCTCTACTGGGGACGACCTGGCTTGCAACCCAGGCATGTGCCTGACTGGGGATCAAACCAGTGACCCTTTGGTTCACAGGCCAGCACTGAGCCACACCAGCCAGGGCTCAAGCTTTCTTTTCTGCTCTTCTGTAATTTGTTTTCTCTACATAGCCATGCATTTTTCTTTGAATTCTACTGTTTAACATTTTGTAATATTCCCCATCTTCTCTTTCCAACTCATAGACATGTATACTTCTCTTTTCAAAAACAGAAATACAGGAATATTATCCTACGTAAGATAAACACCTTAAAAATCAACCACATTGCCTTATCCAGATAGCTCAGTTGATCAGAACATCATTCTGATACACCAAGGTTTGTGGGTTCAACCTCTAGTCAGAACACATACAAGAATCAGCAAATGGCCCTGCCTGAAAACCAAAAGACTGCTGGTTTGATTCCTGGCCAGGCCTCCGGGTGAGGGCATTGTGAACACCAGCTGATATTTATGTTTCTCTCCCACATGTTTACGTTTCTCTCCCTTTCTCCCTTCCCCTCTAAAAATAAATAAAATCTTTTTAAAAAGAATCAACCAATTAATGCATAAATAAGTGGAACAAATGATGTCTCATTCTCTGTAAAAATCACTAAGTTAAGAAATACTGAACAAAAATCAAACATGTTTTACCCCACTTAGTGGTAAAAAGTTATTTAATCATTAAATAAAAAAACAAATCCAAAAGCCCTCTACTCTACTTCTAAGGTTAAGATTTCTAAGGACACTCACTTCAAGTGAATGAATACTCCAGTATCAGCCAACATCAACCACTCGTACCTAAAGAATAATAAGAAAAAGTTATTACAAGAGACAAGGGTATAAGGTTTGAAAATGCTAGTTAATTTCAAAATTTAAAGAGTAAAATTCCAGAGACCAAGATTGGGGGCAAGTAACAGCATTAAAAAAATAGAAAGAAACTTCATGGGGGGGAGGGGAAATCTAAAATTATTCTTACATAAAGTAAAAGTAGACACCTCAATTAGAGTGAAAACTATACCTTCTTTAAAAATACAAAAGCCTAACTGCTATTTTCACCAGTCTGAGTACAATAAAGTTTGACTGCAATCCAAAATATACTATCCCTTATGTGAAGGTATGTGACAACGTTTACCTTACCAAATGAGTTTTAACATCAGCTCTCTTTTCATAAAGCACATAACCTGCACCCCATTCAAGTCTTCCGTTCTCAGGTGGACTGACCACCTTCAGCAGGAGTCCTCCAAGAGTACCCTCCCCATTCCACAGTACACAACAATACAGTTGTTATCCTGTAATCCTATACATTTGCCTCATTCTTTCCCTCTAAGTCCTCACTGAGTTAGGGCAGGGAAGCTATGCCTTATAGGGACAGCAAGGAACCTGAGTTTTTTTCTGAGGAAGAAGACGTTCACCTTTATTATATATGCCTACAGGGCCACTGCACAAAAACCAGAAAGATCAGCCTTAATTCAAGTTCCAGGTTTTTCTTCCTCCCTGATTATCACTTACTGCCAGAGGTATATGAAATAGAGTTCCCTGTTGCACATGTACCATCCATAAGGGATACTATATCGTTTTGCATTCTTCCCAGTCTCCAGATTATCCTATTCTGCATCCAGCCCCCCCTTCTGAATAAAATCTCTTCAGCACTGGTGTTCAAAAGCAACATTTTTATGGTTGATGGTTTACCAACAACTGTGAGATTTTCACAGTTGAGTCTTTAAAAATTGCCAATCATTATCTAGCAGCAATGACAGATTAGGAGTAGTCAAATCCTCAGTTCTTTTCCTAATAGGCAGCCATTTGAGAACTGCACTAGCTGACAAGAGCACTGAACGTTATCAGCTAAAGCCAAAACCAAATAAAGGCCCAGAACAAACATCCCGGCTCTCTAAAACCTGTCCAAAATCATTAAGGGAAAGACTGTAAATGCAGGACTGTGGATCGTGTCACTGCAGCTGACAATGATTAACAATAGAAGACATGCAACCCCCATTAAGGTTCAAGTCCAAAGCTAGTCACACGCAGCTATCTCTATTGGGGGAAAGTGAGACTATTATGTATTCTTCGTAGGTTTTGCAACCTTGTATGAAGAGCACCCATTGCATTTCTTTCATCTTTCAGAAAGCACCTGTATCTGTTCCAAGGGCCTAACAGTACGAAAATGCATTCTGGCATCACACCTCTGAACATCAGCCCATTCTCATTAAAAAGAATAGTTTTCATTTGTAGCAAGAAAAAGAATATGAAATACAATGCAAGCACCTCAGTAGTGTTATTACTGAAACCCATTTACTCCCAGCTTTTTGACTAAGTGGTTTTTAAAGACCCTCTACACTAAGATTCACAAATTATAGCCACGTACAAATCAAAACTAGTAAGAATTGACCTAAGTCACAGGTCTCTCATTTGAAAGTGCAAAAGTCTATTAATCTGAAAATAAGCAGGATGAAGCAAAATTAACCCCCCACCCCAATAATGTTTCTGAAGTCCATATTACAAGTACATTCTCGCAAAACTGTTAAGAAATAAATCTGAGCTTTAATTTCTAAACATTCAGTCCCTAAATCACGGCAGCAAGTATTAGCCACCGATTTAATGGATCATGCCAGAGAAAAACCCATCACAGGGATGTATGCCAATTTAGTGACAGTCTTGTCACTAACACCTAGCATTGTGTTTGCTTTGCATTACATTCATAAGCGAGCTAAACTAATCACCATTTGCTCCTTCATCTAGCAGAAGAGTCAAAAGTTATTTGCTTGGACTACATATTAAAGTACAAAACTGTCCCCACCTTATGAATTGCTTGCCAAAGAGCAAGCCATTTCTCTTGATGCAACGGAAGAAAATTCTCAGTCATGAATCGGTTTCACACATTTATGGCAAAGTAAACCACACTTTCCAGTTACAGAGCAGAAAGCATTATACATGAAAAGCTGTTTCCCATGCACACTAGCTAAAAACCAGTTCAGAGACCAAAGTTTAAGTTGAGTTGAGGTCTGGAACAAAAGTCGATGCAAAGCGTACGTCCTAAGCAACAAAAGAAGGTAGTTTTGAGGATTTTTTTTGTAATTAAACATTTTGGATTATAACATCACATCCCTAATACGAAGGGAACCAAATTCAAAAAGCTATTCTGAACATGTGCAGTTATCCTGCAGAATACGACGAGGTCTTACAGTTGGGAAATGCTTCCCAACTTGTATTCAACTGTAGGCAAGTCAATGTGCCACACCAACTTCCCCCAGGTTTAAAGTATAAACATATTTAGTAAAATCACGTAACCTGAACTATTCACATTAGATTCCCATCTAAGCCCAAGTTAGTAAAAAGGCGTTTCCATGGAGCTCATTTTTTAAAAATTGTGTATATCACATTACAAAAAACCCCACTAATTTTTGTTAATTCATTCTACCTGCAGAGTAATTACCTCTAAAATTGCAGTCTGAAATTATTGATGTTGCTGACCTGCGGGCAAGGTCGGTTTGCTACAACAGAGACTAATTATCACATGCTATACAGTCCATTGTCAAGATGCTAAAAGCAGTCTGCCTCCCAAGTATGGTTTGGTTCCCTTTTCCCCCACACCACTGATGTGTTCCATGTTATCTTCAGTTACAATGCAACTAAAGAAAACGACACAACTGAATCCAGATATACCAAACATCAAGTTTGCACTTTTTATCTGAGAACTGCAACAGCATTGAATTCTGCCTGACAAATTACAGCTCTAACCCCAACCCACGCAGTTTTGATAAGCTAGCTTTACCGTACAAGTGTTAGGTGCTGCACTGTTATTTCACTGTCAGAAGTGTGATGTCAGAATGCCCACGGAATAAAAGTACATAGCAAGTCACCAAGTTAGATTATATTGCTTGTTACCTACCTGTATGCAGTCGGCAATGAGAATCTTGGAGCAAGCAGGAATACTACATCCGGGTCCTAATGTCCATTGCCATTTGCGGTACTACGTTCCTCACAGTTACGCACTGCAGAAATGCTGGCTAAATGCAGTTATGTAGCAGGCCACTACTTTAATAGTGCATAATTGCAGTCCAAGAACACCACAAAATATTCCGCCAAAACTTAGTGGCTTGCCCAAGAAAAGCCAAGTGTCTAAATTTTTATCTGCCATAATATGCCACTTATAAAAATTGCACAAGCGTAACATTACAATTTCCCATATTATATTGTTTATATTAGTGGTATAATACATCTGTAAAGAGTGGTGGGGTTTACAGTACTTCTTAGGTGATTCAATTAGTGTTCCAAGAAAAGAGGATTGTGATTTCACTAAATAGTAGACAGCCAATGGGTTAGGCTTATAAGATACCTATTACATACACTGAGGTCTCTTAGAGAATGCAGTTTTTAAAGATTAGGAATAGTAAATTTAAAAATGACCAGTGTTCCTCTTAAAACAAAATTATGAGAGAAAGTAGAGAAGAGGAAAATGGGGGCAGGTGATTTCTTTAAGTGAGAAAAATGGCTAACTACTTCAAAACTACTACCTTCCCTTTCCCACCCCAAGTTTCATGAGCTTTTAGGCAACTACTTTTTAAGATTACTTAAATTCACATTAGGCTAAAAACTATCATATACGTTGCAAGACTTACAGAAAGTCTATTTGAGCAGCTTACAACCCTTGGTACACTGCTATTTCAGTGATGTAAGTAAAAAACTTAGTTGAAACTAAGCCACATTATTTGCTAAACAACGTTTAGCAACTCTACAGCCCACAGTAAGGCCATCAAAACCACAACTTTCAGAAGATTATCCATTAGCATCCTTCACCACTCTTCAAAGGTACAGTACTACCAAAAGCTTATTTTAGGGGTCTGTGCCAGCATCCCTTATAAAGAAAGGCATGTAATCTGAAAAATAAACTGAAACATTAATTTTATAGGCAGATTTTCCCATTTCCCCACCAGCCCCCACCCACACACATACAAGTTCACCCTCCATGGGTGTCCCATGAACACCCCTTATGTTATCATTAGTGGAGTCCCTACCACACGATTCAATCAAATTGTAACGGACTCCTTTCAAATCAAGACCCTTGTTTCCATACAGAAAAATCTCATACATATCACCAATTCATAACTTAACTGGGGACAAAACTTCCTCATTGATGTAATTATAGGAGAACTACTACCCATTTCCAGGTGTCTTGGTGAAGAGAAATAATCGGTATTTTCTAATGAAATTCCCTTAATTAGCACACCATGTACCTGTCAGTCACACAAACAGAATTGGGTGACGTGCCTTTATACTCCACTAGTGTTTTACTTTTAATATTGTCCAGTTTCCCAAGAATAAAGTGCTCAAATTGTTTCAACAATAGAGTTCCCTTTGTACGCAGGCACAATTCTAAACTTCAGCATTTTAACGAAGATTTGATTTAGAATTTTACTTTTGCCAATTAGCACCAAGAACTGAGGTGAAAAGGAAGACACATTCCATAGTGAGAGTTCTAGAACAAAGCCAAACCATTCAATTACTTCGCCTACCTTAGGAAGCTGTTCCCTCAGCTAACATGTATACACTAGGAGAGCAGGTCCCCACTGTTGCACTATCAGACAACAGTAACAATGTACTCTAATATTTGTCAAAGTATCATACTCAAATGAGATTCAATGAAGTTGACAATAAATTGACAACACCACTGAAACACTCCACAGCTTTAAGGTGGGAGGGATATTTATATTGTGTAGCATTAGCAACCCTCTCCAGATTTAGTGCTACATCAAATGGAACTATGGAAAGACAGATTAACAAGTATTTTACAATTAAGAATGGCTATCTGCAACCCTGTTTGTTAAGTCACCACTAACTCTTAGAAAAGAGAGCAAGTAGTTTTTTGTAGTCCTACAGATTTTGCCCAACAAAGGAGCCTAATGAGATGTAAGTTTCAGAGTACCAATGTATATATATAACTACACCTGGTCTACGGTTACTATAGTTCTTACTTTCAGGCTGAATTTTTCAGACTCTATAAACCCCAATCTTCATATATTGCTTAAAGTAATACATGAAAAGATTTCATGTTTAACAATCTTTAATTCAAATGTGAAAGTTCAATACAAGCCATTTGCAGGGCTTGGGACTCATTCTTTTAAAAACAAGAATGGAGAATGCAATAAAATTATCTTTCCACTTTTTCTTCAGAAACTTTCAAGGAAAGGATAGATCAAAGGGCCATAAAAGATCCATTTAGTCATTCGCACTTTCTCCCTCTACCAGTAATCTTACACCCATTCCATTATCTTAATACACATTCCTGAATGAAGATTTACAGTTCAGCTTTGCTTATATAACCAGTTAAAAGTACTTAGCACCACTTGCTTCCTATAATGCCAAACAAATCAAATCATGAAACTGCTCTAATATGCATTTCTCCTTTTTAAAACAAGGGGGTACTTATTTGTAGAAAAGAATATTTAGCCTACAGATACATTTCCCAGAAATGGCATATGCCATTTGAAGGTCTAGAGATTTCTCATGCTTCAAAGTGGAATACCTAGCCTAATGTGCACAAAAGCATGAATGGCAAAGTTGAAGATCAATATTATAACTATTTTATCTATTTATTTGAAGCACAGTAAAAAAAAAAGGGGTACACTTTGGAAATTCAGTGGCACAAGGTACACTGCCATAACTTGAGGGACATTATACAGTTTTTTTTAAAAAAGTAAATAAAAAGAAAAAAATTCCGGTTCAAAACACTGCATTACATAATTTTACCTGCCCAAACAGACCATTTACAAATATTAGGTCAATAAACTGCTAACATCCATAAAAAGGTAGCTTTCTTACTAAAATGCAAGAATTTAAAAGATAGGTATCTAAACAAGAAAAGACAAAAACAAACTGGAATGAAAGCCTAGATGTCACATCTAAAATCGGGGTTTTTTGTTTGGGCCTTCATACTCTTCTCTCCCTCTACCATATCCTGCTGGAGTTCCAGGCCCCATTCCTCTAGGACCCTGTCCACCCACAGGTCCCGCACCTCCCTGCCCAAAGCGCTCAGTACGCTATTGGAACAGTAATTAACAGTTCATTATATGTAGTTGATGTCCATGTGTGTTAAGTAAATATTTTAGAAGGTTCCGTAGTCAACGTTCGTCGATACAATCACCAATGAGTCGATCCACAGGTACCGGGAACATAGAAAGGAAAAAAGGGTAATTTGAAAATTAGTTTACGATAATACATGCCTTGTGGTATGTTCCCACTTGAGCCATTCTCATACACCTGTTTCAAAGAACAGATCTTCCCTGTAGTGCTAAAAAATTTAAGAATTAGTGTAGATGTGAAAACCCATTCCAAAATGAGTTTAAGAAATTTCACATCAGAATAACCCACTGAAAAGCTTGCGAACTTCTCACTTTCCAGGTCTGAACAGGAATTTAATTTCCAAGTAAGCCTAACAAGCCCAACCAGACAGATTCAATTCACTCAATAAAGTGACAAAGACCTACTCACCAGTTAGTGGCATGTGCTGCATAAGAAACCTTGAGCTTTTCAAGATCTTAAGACACATCTGCTAAGTTGCAGAAACCTTAAAAGGTTCAAAGTTTTAATAAAATGCTACCAGACTACAAAAAAGCATAAAAGACTAGTAGATTTAGTCACTTAACCGGCACAGTAACTTGATTTAAAAAACATGTTGCCATATTCTCACAGATATACCACCTTCAGAGCCGTCACTACATAACCAGAGATAATTATGGTCACAGTACTAGTCTGTATTTGTTGCAAACTGACTAAATGTACAGCCCACCCCCGTAACAGCCCAACTCTTCCTATAGGTCTTGAAAGTCCACTGGCACTCAACTACAATTCCATGTTTGGAGTATCTCCCAAACAGCCTAATACCAAGCTTAAGTGACTGCAATAAAACAGGAGTTCATTATTCCATCTACTTTTAGGTACTTTCTAAGTCTTAGAAAGCTATGTACCCAAACAGAAAAACCCTACAGATATGCAAGCACAGCAGCCTGAACTAGCTTTCAAATTCCATTTAAAATCTATCGGTTAACTAAATATTACCCCCAAAAACACAGCAAACAAAAACAAAAATGGCATCAGGGTGTAACTGTTCCTACACGTCATAATTTCAATGTTTCTTATAAAATACCATAGGGCTATTTAAAAAGACTAAGTATCTAAATCCTTTAAACAATTTTTTTTAAATCCTAAAAATTTTAGGGTTTTAGTACACTAATATATTTCAAAAAGCTAAAAAGGAAAATTTGGGGGTATCACAATTATCTTACTACAACATCTTAGAACCTGAAGGAGCTACCTATTACACAGAGTATAGAAACTTAACTTGGGAACATCTTATAAAGTTAGATTTTAACAAATCTGCTTACCTACCTACACAATCTGCAAGGTATGCTTCCACAAGGAAGCACATAAGCAAAAATGTTACCCACATTATTTTTAAAATTCAATTTGAAGGAAGCTAATATTACATTTAACCCACCAGCTATTCATAGTTCTAATTCCCAAAAAAGCCATTAGTGGATTTTAAATAGGTGAGGTCCCATACTAAATCCTTATGTTCCTATTTGTCAAATGTTATCTAGTGAGTTACATGCTGCAAGCGTCCTTCCCTTGCCAAAACCCTATAGGTGAACTAATCAGATTCAATTCAGATTTGAAAGTGTACTCATCCCTAATCCCACTTTTAAAGTCAATATTCAGTTCTAAAAATGTGTAAAACCCTAAATACAGCCACTCAGACCAACTCACTTGGTTGTACTAAAGAATCCAGATAGGCTAGCTGCACAGCTAAAACATGACAGCATCAAGAAGGTTCAACTCAAATGCACACAACTAGTATGCTTAAAATTACTGATTTTTTTTTGGTTTTTGCTGCTCTGTAGCAAAAGAGGATGTCAGTTTAATTTTAGAAGGTGTACCTATAGACAGCCCAACAGGTGGGAAACGACGAGTCAAAACTTTTAATCAACAATTCCCTTTTATTGGCTAGAAGCCACACCAAATATAGGTATAAATCCTACACATCACTAAAACATGCCTAGAAGCTTTAAACTACTAGTCTAATTCATACTTATGGCAAATACCAGCTGAATGAACAACAGTTTGCCATTTGATTACTCTCACTTGGATGTAGAATAATCATGTACGTTATCTAACGTTTAGAATTTGGATTTGCCATGCGCTGGAGTGCAAGAGGACACAAGCAATATTGGAAAGCACCTAAGTCTACTTATTGCCAAACATAACTCCAACATATTACTAACAGCACTGATTTCCCATTGGCAACCATATCTGTTTAGGTTACCACACACTGAGTTCTTCTATGTTGCCAAAGTATTCCTCAATATTACGATTTACATGATAGGGGAACTAAAAGAAGTCCAGTCACCTACTTAAAAAAAAACAAAACACAAAACAAAAAACAAAAAAACACACATAAGTTGTGAAAGCGAGAAATTCCTTTGTACTACGTCCCACAGGATACATTACCATGTCGCTTCCCATCATGGAACCACTCATGGTTGCTGGTGGAACTCCGGGGTTAGCTTCATAACCTATTCCACCACCACCACCTAAAGGTGGAAATTTCTGGCCTCCAGAACCATAGGGATCTAGGAAACAAAAACACCAGTTACAACTCAATCAGAACATTGCTCTTTAATGGTATTGCTAATTTAATTTTCATGCTTACCTCCCATGTTCATTGCTCCTCCACCACCCATTCTCATGTCTCTCTCTCTCTGGAGAAGAAAAAAATCACGTATCTGTACTATGCCCATATGATGAGTTAAAAAACAAAAACAAACTTAATGTCTTTAACATTAGAAGGTTCATTAAAGCAATCTTAAAAATCAGTTTCTGAAACCAATTATTGACAGTCAATTATCCAAAGACCTAAAAACTTCTTCCTAACCAATGAATTGTTGGCCAAACCAAAAAGGTAACTCTAAAACTCTAAGGTGTATCAGTCAAAATGTATTTGTTCAAAAAAAAGTGGTTATAATGTGAAATATTATATTTAACTGAGCAAAATTTTATTGTAGGTACCTTCAAGTTTTGTAGACAACTCCAATTAGACTATAACAGAAGTTTACTTACTGGATCCATGTAGCCCATTCGGCTGTAACTTTCCTCTCTTTGGCGTCTCATTTGTTCCTCCATCTCACGCTGACGAATCATCATCTCTTCTTCCCTTCTACGTCGCTCCTCCTCTTGCCTGGAAATGTTCACCAAACATATAAAACCAGTGTTATCCACATCTTTTCAAATTCAATCTTAAAAAAGCTAATAGCTTGCCTAACAGCTTTACAAAGACTAGGTTAGAACAAACACGTAAAAAGATCAGGAGAACCCTGGCTAGATGGCTCAGTTGGTTGGAGCATTGCCCCAAAACACCATAGGTTGAGGGTTCAATCCCCAGTATGGACACATACAAGAAGCAAGCATTGGGTGCATGAATAGGTGGAACAACAAATCAGTGTCTCCCTGTCTCTCTAAAATCAATAGAAAGAAAGAAAAGAGCCAGGAAAAGTGAATTCAGAATAGCCCTAGAGGCATTCTGGAAAAAAAAAGCATTTACTTATGAAAATCTTACATATAACTCCAATTTAAAGTATTATACCAACACTGACTCTACTTCATCTGATCTGATTCACCTGCAAAATTTAGGTTCATCTTTTGTCTAAGTGTTAATGAATTAAAAAAGGCTTAGTTTAACAAAATTTTACCTTAATTGCATTTCTTTTCGTTTCTGCATTTCTTGATTGTGAAGTTCTTCCATTCGCCTTAATTCTTCCTGGCGTCGCATCAGATCTGAACATTGGAAAATTGTTTTGGATTTATTATAATAAGATTCTGTTAAGTTCAAAAAGCAATGATCTTATCAGCAAAATTCGGAAGGCCATTTACCTTGACGCAGAAGATTTGCCTGATGTTCATGATAGGCATCTTCCATTTCACTTTCCAATTTGTCTTTTGCATCTTTCATATTTTTTTCAACTTGTTCCCTTTGCTGTTTTTCCATTTCATCCAAGGACTTCCATCTCTGAGAATATTCATACTCAAATGTACCATGCTGGGCAAAACGAGGAGGAGTTTCTCTCTCCCTGACAATATTTAAAGATGAGTCAATTTGGGAATGCACACAAGAAATACTTCCTGACTCCCCTAAAAACACTGTTTTTTCCCCCCTGGCCTATTACTTGTAAGAAAAAACAAGAAGCAAAGACCACTTTGGTTCATATAAAATATCTTCACGGCAGAAACTGTATCAGTGTGTCCCAGAATGATACAGTAACAGAGAATATGGGAACTGTTAAATCCTATCTTTCTTACTCCCTAATTGTTTCTCTTAGCCAAATTTCATATTTAAGGAAATTTTCCCATCCTTAAAAAATGAGGATATGTATACATCATGCAATTGTTTTAAGAGCAAGGTAAGACTGTATAAACATACCTATCTCAGAAATAAAAACTAGGTATTTGAATAATTGCTTCAAAACCTCAAACTTCCTGAGCCTGATGTTTTCATTAAGCATACTCAAGAGTATGCTTGATGAAATGGGCAAGAATGCCCATTTCAAACAACACTGAAAAACTACTACAAATTCTCACTTACACTTAAAAACTGCCCAAAAATTTAATCCATCTTACTTTTGATACATTGGATTCTTCTGTGCAAGTTTTTCAGGAAGACCATCTTCATCATCTAATTGTTCAAGGGGTTCCACAATGACTGGACGAGGAGTTCTAATTAACAAAAAAGTTTCCGTATTATTTTCCAGTTTTACTGCCACTTCCTCACACAAGTTAATAGAAATTATTAAAATAAGCACAAGAACTTACGTTGTCAGTAAGAAAACACCTTCGCTGCATCTTTCAAATGCTTTTCTTGCTGCTGGTTTGGAAGCGAATTCAACAATGCCTTTCCCTGTAGATCTCCCACGATCATCCACAATTACCACAGCCCTTTCAATAGGACCAAACTGGCTAAAGGCTTCTTCCAATAGTTCATTGGAAACATAAGGTGAAAGATTTCGAACGGAAAGGGCAGCAGCATGCGTGGCAAAGCGAACCCGAAGCTGTCTACCTCTCATGGGAGTATCATCAAGTTCAGCTTTGGCAATTTCAGCCAGTGCTCTAGATTCCTGAAAGTTATCAGACATACTCATGTTAATGACCTCAACAACTGTTTAATGCCCACTCTGACGGCTGTAAGCCTAATTCCCATTCCTATTATTCCTCCAGCTCAAATGATCTTCAGGCAGCCTCCCCGACACCATTCGCAATAGTTAAAATGCTGTACCCACCCACTCCTCTTGTCTTAGATACTAAGTTATACACTATACAGTAGTTGCAATTTTTCTCTAAGAACAATAAAAATTTTAAGGACCAATTTATTCTTGTTCATTTAAAAAGCAGTATGTTTGTACTAAGAAAAAAGAGAGGATCCTTTAATTATACATAAAAATCCAACAAACTCACAAGTTTAATAAATCCAAAGCCTTTGCCTTTGTTGATAAAAACTTCTCCTGGTTCTCCATATTTAGCAAACAGTCTTTTGAATTCCTCCTCCGTAATATCAGCAGGTAGATTCCCAACAAACAATCGACAACGCTGAGTGTAAGTTTTCTCTCCAGGTCTCCTCAAGAGAGACAAGTTGGCTTTAAACCCCTAATGAAAAAGAAAGTATTTTCAAACACCAGGGACCTTTACAAATACGGAAACCCGCCAATTTTTGCTTTGCCCAAACTCTATTACCAATCGGATTGTTCTCCTGTTTCGTTTAAACTCAAAGCAAGGTCCCACTACATTTGTGGGATTTCCAACGTAATCAGTGTCCTAATATCCAACTGCCCAAACCACTCAAAATACTCGATAACTGACACTCAGAACTCTCTACGGAGAAGTCCCTTTACCAACAATCTCGTAACCCCTGTATGCTGAGCGTCCGACTAAATCTAAATCATAGCAAAGTTAAAACGGCGGTCAAGTATTAACAAAATAAAAAAGACCAAAATCCCGCCCGTTGCCACCGACATGACTTGGGCCTACGCTTTTCAGACCCGAACTCCCCCGATACCTCGAATCCTGCTCGGGTTCCTTGGGCTTAAACAGGGCCTATCATAGCTTCTCACCGCCTCTTCCCCCAGGCCGCACCACCACCACCATCCCTCGACCCTCTGGCGGCTCACAGGCCAAACCCCGGGCGGGATAGCGGACCCACGCAGCCCGTCCCAGGCTCCGCCGGGCAGCCCCGCCCTTCGCCGCTAGCGCGCAAGCGCTTTTCCGGCCTCCGACAAAATGGAGGCCAGCGAGGGGGAGGAGGACGAGGAGGGGCCGCGGCCATCTTAGGGAAGCCGACGCGTAGCGCCCAGAGACACTCACCTCCGAATCTGAGATCTTTTCCTCGCTGCGGCCGCCGGGCCCACCGGGCGGGGGCCCCTGGTGGTGCTGCTGGTGGTACGGGGGGTGGTGCTGCCGGCCTCCGCGAGGCTCCCCGCCTCCTCGGTGCGGCGGCTTGGGATGGCCACCAGGAGCGCCTAGGCCCGGGCCACCGCCGGGCTTCGGCCCGCCAGGCATTTTGCCGCCTTTTGGTCCGCCGGGTCCTGGGCCTTGCTTGGGCCCCGGGATCGGGCCCCCGGCGGGTGGAGGCGGCGGACCTCCAGCCTGAGGTGGGGTGGTGGGGACTCCGCTGCTCGGCGGCGCAGGCGGGGGCGCCCCGGGGGGCGCCGTGGTGACTGCGGGCGGCGGGGTCGGGATAGGGCCTGGTCCGGTGGTGGCCCCAGAAGTCGGGGGAGTGGCGGGAGGAGCCGGGCCGGAGGCCGGCGGAGCGCTGCTTACTCCAGGAGCCGGGCCGGGTCCCTGAGGAACGACCGGCTTGGACGAGTCCTGTGGCGGTGGCGGCTGCTGATGCGGTGGCGGCTGCGGATGCGGTGGCGGCTGCTGATGCGGTGCCTGAAGCGGCGGCGGCGGCTGCTGTGGTGGAGGCTGCTGCTGCGGTGGTGGCTGCTGCTGTTGTTGGTGCGGAGGCGGTGGCGGGATCGGGGGTTTGGGGCCACCCTGGCCCGGGCCGGGACCCATGGGCCCGCGGTTCTGATTGAGGCCCATACCGGGCGGCGGGGAGCGAAAGTCGTGGAGGCCTCCGCGGCCACCGCCTCCTCCGCGCCGGTGGAAACCGCCACCGCCGCGGCTCCGGAATCGATCCCGAGACATGTCTGTAATCAAGGGGCGGTCGAGACAGAAGCGGAGAAGACGCTTGGGGAACGTGGAGGCCACCTTGCTTCGCACAAAATGGCGGATGACACAGGCTCTGCGCCGCCTTTGTCCTTTTCTTATATAGGTCTGCAGACCTAGCCCGCCTACTTCTTGATGGGTAGCTCCAATAGCCAGTTGCAAGTGCCGTACTTGATGACACTAAGTTACGAAGCGCTAATCTTTTCTATTGGCTCCTGGGTAGGAGGCGGGAGGAATGAGTGGCTGAAGTTTCTAGTTGGCCAATGAACGGAAAAGGAGTTAGCTGTAGGCTGCTGTGATTTGCTGGGAGAAATTTGAATGGGTTCGCTAGACTAATTTTCTCAGGAAAGCAGATTACAAGGGCTCTAACAGCTCAGAGGGAGACATTATCAAAGGGTCCTTTCTCTTGATTGTTCCTGCAGCAGTCTGCTGTTAGTTACCCTTGCCCAGAAAGAACACAACGTTCTGTGGTTGACATTCACAGATTAAGTTCCTACTATCTACTCCATCTGGTGCTGGGCCAGTGAAATTAGAGAAATAGTCTTACCGATTTCACACACACGATCTCGCTGATTTCATTTTGGAACCTCATTGGAATACAGGTTTGTTTATGAGTATAAACTTCACTGACGTGCATTCTTTAGTGAGTACATTCTCTATTTTTTTTAAGTCCTTGATTTTGCATGTGTGTAGAACAAATTTACAAACGCAACACACACGGGGACTATAACGTTTTTCTTAATTCCACTGCCACACAACATTTTATGATCAGATTAAGATACTTTAAAATTGCAATATTAAAATATCTATGTGGAATTAACCAATAGGCAGTATCCTCTTCAAAATCTCCAAATTTTGTGAGGTGCACTAGCCATGTTCTTTAATACTCATCCTAGTTACTGTCATTTATGGACCTTTTGATGGATCATTCCTTCCTCAATTCATTTTAGTTCATGGCTCCCTGGTTGGTGTGGCTCAGTGCTGTCCTGCGAACCAAAACGTGACTGGTTCAGCTTAAGTCAGGGCACTTGCCTGCATTGGGGGCCAGGTCTCCAGTCGTGGGTGTTTGAGGGAAGCAACCCAATTGATGTTTCTCTCCTTCTCTTTCTCCCTCCTTCCCCTCTCTTTTAAAATTAATTTAAAAAAATTTTTAAGCCCTGGCTGGCGTAGCTCAGTGGATTGAGCGCGGGCCTGCGAACCTGAGTATCGCGGTTCGATTCCCAGTCAGAGAACATTTCTGGGTTGCAGGCCAGTTCCCAGCAGGGGACCCATGAGAGGCAACCGTACATTGATGTTTCTCTCCCACTCTTTCTCCTTCCCTTCCCCTCTCTCGAAAAATAAATAAATAAAATATTAAAAAAAAATAGTACCTTACTTTATAAAAAAAAAATTTTTAAATGAAAATAGTAGCTTATGGCTTATTGTCTTCCTTTTCACCTCTTATTTCTGTTCATCATCCAACATCTGTATGGATGACCACCCAATACTCTGTCAATTCTTTATCTCCTCACTTCCAGCAATCTTTTCTTCTATTTTAAATCAGCTGCTCCATCTCCATGTTTGCCTCACAGCTCATTCCTGTGTTTGTTATTGCCAGTAAGTATCCCATCTCTAAAATCTCTATTTCAAGAGTCCCGACTGTCTGATCATAGTAACTGATTCCTTGACTTCATTAAAACCTCCAAACTGTTAAATGTTACTTTTTCAATGCCTCTCATTCTTATAACTTGTGTCACACAGTTTAGAAGTTAAGTTTGCCTACAAACACAACTCTTGTTTTCCTCCTTCTCCATTATACTCACCTGGTAAAACCTCATTCTAATCGGACCCAACAATTTACCTTCTTTAACAAGGGCTGAGGCTTTCACTTTAAATTCTTGACCACAACCCTCAAAAAGACACTTTTCCTGGCACTCTTACTGAATTTTCCTAGTAAGTTCATTTTCCCACTTCCAGAGATAGTGTATTTCACGCCTTCTCTGTTCAAACTCCTACACATTCTTCTCTTCCTTCACCATAACTAGTGACTTCTCACATTTGAGAAAATAAAAATCATCAGAGAGGATCATTCTCAATCAACTGGAAAGTCACGAGCCTACTTGATTTGTACCGTGACACGCAAAAATTAATTTTCCTCCCACATTTAAAATTTTTCTAGCTAGGCTAATCCAAATAATATAAGACAGATTAACAGGAGAAAATGTCCAGAATTTATTATAGATGTACATTTTTGGGTGCCATAAGATATGAGACCTGAAGACACATGGGCAGTTGAGGTTTGTATGCTATTTTGGACAAAAGAGAAGGGGGCGAGGGTCTGGGATTTAGAAAAAGTAGGCTATTCACAGATTGATAGATCAAATGTAGAATTCTTGCTGGGACACCCAGGAACAATGGGACACCAAAGGAAGTTCAACAAAAGGGCTTTGCTAGATTTTTCCCTGTCTGCCACATTTAGTTTATGTTATGATGCTATGCTGATGCTTACTACCTGTAAGCAGGTTTTTCTCTCTGAATTCTTTTAGGCAGAAAGGGGGAAGAGTAAAGGTTTTTTCTGAGTCTTTTGTTTCTTAATAACCAGTTTAAAATCAATATTCCAAAAGGTACATTTTGGGGTGGCAAAATTTGGGTCCTCCTCAATACCCATCTTCCTTTTCATCTTTCTGATACCATGAAAGATGTCCCTTTGCCCCTCTCACAGGGCACACCCGTTCAATGGATCCCATCCCCTCCTGCCTTTTCTAGGACTTTTCCTTGTAGCATCAATTACTTCTACTGGGTCATTACCATCTTAAAAATAAACAAAACCTTTCCTTTGTCCTATTATCTCATTTCCTCACTCCTCTTCCCAACAAAACTTAAAACAAGATGTCTCCAATGGGAGGCCTCCACTTCCACCCCAATCTGTTTAACCTATTCTTAAACTTGCCAACGATACCAATGATCTACATGTTGCCAAAACCAATAAAACTCTATACTCTTTTTACCTGTTAGCACCATTGAACATAGATGGCACTCTGTCTTTCATGAAACACTTTTCTCATTGGACTCTGTGAAAACACATTCTCACAACTTTCCTCCTGCCCCAGTGATCTGTCGTCTTCTGTGGCTCCTCCCTTGTAGACCTCTAACTGTTGGGATCTTTCAGGACTCATTTCCAAGCCACCTTCAAGACTTCAAGTATCACCTAAATATTAATAACCTTCATATTTATATTTCCATGGTAGGGTAGATCTCTTATTTGAGATCCCAACTCATTTTTCTAAGTTATTAGACATCTCCACTTGGAGTATTAGCTGGTATATCAATTTAATATGTCCAAACTAGAGCTCTCTATTGTATCAACCTAATCTGTTCCTTCCCCTAATCATCCCCAGCACAATAAATAGCATCATCTCATTGTTAAAACAACAAGGATTCATCCTCTTCATAAAATTCAAAAAATTGATTCTACCTCCAAAGTATATCTTGAATCCATTTCCTTCTTTCTATCTCTGTCACTGCAACCTACTCTTTTTTTACATCCATCTTTCACCTAAATTACTGCAAGCAGTATTTAACCTTTCTCCCTCCTCTCTTTCTGGCTCCTCTCTAATCCATTTTCCATATGGCATCTACAGTGATCTTTTAAGAAAAAATAATTCAGAAGTCATTTCCCTCCCATCTTTAAAGTGGCTTCCATTTAGAATAAAATCCAAACACCTTAACAAGATCTACAAGACATGATTCAATCTGACCTCTGTCTGGTTCAACACCTTTTCTCTCAGGTTCCTTATCCCTATCCACAGGAAGCCCCTCTCTGTTCTTAGGATTTATCAAGATATTTTGCACGCGTCTTGCGTCAGTATACTTGGACTTGCTTACTCAGTGTGAAGTGCTTTTCCCCCCAACTTTCTGCGGTTATGGCTTCTTTATTTTTCGGTCTCAGTTTGAACGTCACCTCAAAAAGTCTTCCCTGCCAATTACCACATTTAAAGTAAGACTCCCCTCTTTGTCACACCATCCTCTGTATGTGATGTAAGGTATATGATAGCTCTCTTTATAATTTATATTGAGCTTGTTTATTTCTTCACTTGTTTACTGTCTGTCTCCTCTGTTAGACTGGGATTCCATCTGAGTTCTTACTTAAGGCAGTACCACTGGTACATAGCACAGAGACTAACCCCAAGATGCTTAATAAATAGGTGTTGAATGAATAAATGAATGAATGAAAGCATAACAATAAAGAGCAGCCTTTAGTTCCATCTTTAGGGCCTTGTGCCAAGGTCCTTCACTTTTCTGACACACTACTTAAGGGGTACATATGCCTTAGGGGTCATGATGTGTGAAGTGGTTAGTAATAAGTGTTCAGTAAATACTAGTTATCGTTATGAAAAAATCAGAGACATCTAAAGGCACTTGAGTGTTAGAGCCCAGAAGATAAATGGAGTTAAGTAGTAAAAGTTTGGTTAGTGTGTTCTTTTTGAAGAGGCAAGGAAGTTTAATGTATTTTAGAAAAAAGTGTATCCTTGCTTTTAACAGTAGATCATTTAACAAGAATGATCCACTACAACGAAGTAGGGTTTTTCTTAGGAATACTAGGATGTCCATAATATTAGGAAAGTCATTACAATATTAGAAGAAAAGTATTAAGCTAATACATCCCAGCAATAAATCAAAGAAGGGGGTCCTGAGCTATCTAGCTCAGTTAGTTAGTGTTTTCCCCAATACGCCAGTGTTGCAGGTTTGATCCTGGTCAGGGCTCATACAGGAACCAACCAATGAATGCATAAATAAGTTGAACAACAAGTTGATGTCTGTGTCTCTCTCTCTTTCTTTCTCTCTCAAAAAAATCAAAAAATCAAAAAATCAAAAAAGGAAAAGCAAATAAGAAAAAACGTGGAAGCTCAAAAGGCATTTGATAAAATTCAACATTCGTTGAGTTTTAAAATTTTTTAAATTTAGGAACAGGAGGATAATTCTTCTAAAAAATCTTTATTACTGTTTTAGGTGAAAAAGTGTTCAGATTATACCAGTCGAATCTGGAAATGGAAACTGTTGATTCCCTCCATTCTACATAATAGAAATAGCTGCCACTA